ACCACAATTCTCTTTCATTTGCCTTCTTAGACTCGTCCACTCTCAGTTTGTACTGACAGCTGCCATCCTGGTTTTAGCAAGAAAGTGAGGGAGGGGAAACCATTTTGCTGCTATGATTGCATTCCATGTCCAGAAGGGAAGATTTCAGACCATGAGGGTAAGAAACACACTCTACCTAGAATGGATGTAATTTGACAAAACGTGAATTCTGGGGTTGCTTTTCTTTGGTATTTACATTGGGTTGCCATACATGGGGAAAACCCAAACGTATGGCAGCCCTAATTTACAAGTTCCATACAAATCTTTCTTTAATAAAATGATTTGGTAGGTCTGGATAGAAAATTAAAGAAAAAGATAATTCTGATGATATTTGAGGACTGTTCAGTGTTGCATATTCAGTTTTACTTTTGACTTTTGTTTTGAACACCATCAGTAAAATGATGAATCATTGCCATTTGCAAAAGCTATCATTTTGTTTAAAGTCTTCAGATACTTTAATTGAAATATCAAACTCAAAGTGCAAAATGGTAACGTTCATTTCGATAAGCAGCTAATTAATTGTTTCCAATGTTTTGCTTGTATCTGTCTTAACATTTTTTAAATTGAAAGGTGGAATATAAATGACAAATAAATCCCTTGTATCTACACAAGAGGAACTGTTATGGCATGTTGAATAAATTTATTACACATATCTGAGAGTGAGAGCACACCTTTATTTTTCAGACCTGAGTGACTGTTATGAATGCACAGATGAAACTTTTCCAAATAAAAATCAGGATCTATGCATTCCCAAGCGCATCAGCTACTTGACTTTTGGAGAACCTTTGGGGATCATCTTAGCCTCTTTTGCTCTTTGCCTTTTTTTGATCACAGCTTTGGTGCTGGGAATATTTGTCAAGTGGAAGGATACTCCCATTGTCAAAGCCAACAACCGGAACCTCACCTACACCCTTCTCGTTTCACTTCTGCTCTGTTTCCTGAGTGCTCTGCTATTTATTGGCAAGCCTCACATTGTGACATGTTTCTTCCGGCAAACTGCTTTTGGCATCATCTTCTCAGTGGCTGTTTCTTGTGTGTTGGCAAAAAACCATCACAGTAGTTCTGGCTTTCCTGGCCACCAAACCAGGATCCAGGATGAGGAAATGGGTGGGGAAAGGACTGGCAAACACCATTGTGTTTTCCTGCTCCTTTGTTCAAGTAGGCCTCTGCATCATGTGGCTGGTAGCCAATCCTCCATTCCCAGATGTTGACATGCACTCATTGACTGAACAAATTGTACTAGAATGTAATGAGGGATCGGTGACTATGTTTTACTGTGTTCTGGGCTACATGGGACTCCTGGCCTTTGTGAGCTTTACTGTGGCTTTCCTTGCCAGAAGGTTGCCTGACAGTTTCAACGAAGCCAAGTTTATCACTTTCAGTATGTTACTTTTTTGCAGTGTTTGGTTATCCTTTATTCCATCCTACCTGAGCACTAAGGGGAAGTACATGGTAGCAGTGGAGATCTTTTCTATCGTAGCCTCCAGTGCTGGGTTGCTGGGTTGCATCTTTTCCCCCAAATGTTACATTATTTTGCTGAGACCTGAGCTGAACAACCGGGAACAGCTAATAAGAAGGAAACCTTGAAGAATGCCTATTTCTGAGTCTTTGTTGTTTGCTGTTAAGTGGTGTTTCCACAGCAAAAAATAAAATAAAAAATTAGCTAAGATATATAATGAATCAAATTACATGTGAGAGTTTGAAAGTCACCCACGATCCTGTCACTGTTGAAAACATTGTATGAAAAGTATGCATGTACGTATATGGGGAGTTGGCACAGCTTAAATGCAAACATATATACATACAATGAAAGGAAAAAAGAAGGCTGTTGTGAAATTTATTACGACTTTTTTTTAAAAAAAAACAATTTTCCAAATTATTACAAATCAAACCAAATTACTTTAATTTAATACAATTTCTCAAAATCAGGTTTTCTGCTCCTGTTGCAAACATATGTCAAACATTTCCTCCCTTAGCCACATCATCTCTTATTTAATGTCCAATTGATCCTTCACTTGTTGTTAGTCCATTCTTCCAGCTGGCCACATTATTTTTTCTCCTTACAAACAGTGCCTTTGTTACATCTTTTAAATAAAAAAACCCATTTCATGTGTGTAGTCCTTCATATACATTGTTGTTTCAGACCTGGTGTGCTGGAAGAAACAATCTTCCATTGTTCAGTTCTTTGCAGTGCTTATCTAGATGGGACAAGGTCACATTCCATTCCTTCCATGTCCATGTCCACTCTCCGCCATTAAAATTCCACTCTGGAGTTCTTTCTTGGCACACAGTTAAAAGCAAAATCTTTTCTCAAATTCGGCCTCTTGACAGATTTATTCAGCAGCCATTCAATCTTCTTGCTCTGCTTTGTTCCTTCTCACTCCTGCTCTAATCCAAATATAATTTCCAATAAAGTCCATTCAACCTTGGTCGAGAGGGGAGGGCATAATAAAACCTTGCTAAATTCCTTGTTGAGCATAAATCAAAAGCCTCTCCCCTCCTTTTCATGGTAATAGGTAGAATAACATAGCTACAGCTTCACACATCTCTTTCATTTTACAGGGGAGGACAAGAAAAAAGACCATCTGAAAACCATATGAAAGCAAAAAACATCCTGTCCTCCCCCTTCCTTCCCTGGCTGTTGTCAGGCTTCTCAAGCTTCGGGGAAAACATTCAAATGCCTTCAAAGAGCCAAGCCCAGTCCTTTTGGCAGCTGATTGATTGCAGCCCGTTATCATGTCGGTCCAGGAGCACCTCTTGAATAAACGACAATATTCCAGATTAAGGAGGAACCAACCACAAATCATGCTGGAGAAAGAGGCTCATACATGGCAGGGACACACTCCCAGGTCACACCCACTCTGCCTTTCAAGTTGGCAGACACAGGCTTGAGCAGCACAGCGGGAAGCAGCGAGCTCCCCAGACCCCATTGGGGAACATTGCCAGGATTTTTGCCTCATAAATCCTGGCTTTCCCCTGCCTGAACCTTCCCGCTGCCTGTGGAGGGCAGTGGGGAGCCATCGCCATTGACTTGTGGCATAACTGGAAACTGAAATCTATTAAAACTTTAGCTGTTCCAGAGACACTGGCCTCAGCATGAATGTTGAAATCACTCAAACCAGGTTTTATCCGCTGGTTCTTTGTTCCAGCTCTGCTATACACATAGCAGGAAAACAACCATGAAAATAGAATTTCTAAGCCATATAGAGCCAGTGAAAATACATCCAGTAATTTAAAAAGATTGTAGACTCGAGAATAAAAAATATTAATGTACAGTCGTACCTTGGAAGTTTAATAAAATCCGTTCTGGAAGTCTGTTCGACTTCCAAAATGTTCGACTTCCAAAGTGTGGCTTCTGATTGGCTGCAGGAAACTCCTGCAGCCAATCAGAAGCTGCGGAAACCCCATCAGACATTCGGATTCCAAAAGAATGTTCAAAAACCGTAACACTCACTTCCAGTTTTTGATCGTTGGGGAGCCAGAACATTCGACTCCCAAGGTCTTCAGGAGCTGAGATGCAATTGTATCTTCATGTGTGGCAGTTCTGTCACAAAATAATACATTTATTATCTCTTGCCCCAGAACCAAGTGTTTAGCTGCATTCCTTGCTATGATTCAAGACTATCCAATTACTGAAGATGTGGCAAACATTATTCAGCAGGATTACAGGGAATACACAACTTTGTGTTAAGTAATGTGTGATTATTAGAACAACTACAATGAATTGGGCAACCTGCTAATTTACCTGTGGAGTACTCAGACACTGAAAAATAAGGCATATATAACCCATTACTATTTGAATCAGAAACCTAGAAACAGAGATAGGCAAGGCTCTATCAAATTGGATCCTTAATCACTTGATTCAAGTCAGGTTGTTTTAATCACAGTGACTAATGAAAGCATGCAGTAGAGGTGAATAGAAGACTCTTCAGTCAGATGTAAGATTTCTGTTCAGGATAGGGATAATAGTGATATGTGCTGTTGCTGATTCCATATATGGTGTGCAAACCTGTGGGCAGAATGTGGGCTCCCCACCCCATTTATCACTAGTACTTTCAACCAGGAGAGCTCATCTTCAGTGGCCTTTTTTATCATACTTTCTTTATGAGCACTTCAAAGGCTTTGAATGAACGCCCTCCAGAGCAAGCACACGTTGCGTTCACATGCCCAAGGCTTGCTTAGCACTGAGGGGGATTTTTCTCTCAATGACTGTAGAATGTGGCTGTTTACATGCTCAGTGATGGAGAAGGATTCTTTCAGAGTACACATTTAACACTTTACATTATTGTCCTTTTGTACATCTGCTCTACTGATCAACAACACTGCATGCTCACAGTCTCATATTGAACCATATTGGGGAGGATGTCATTGACATTACTAATTACTACTGAGAAGGGGGGTGTTGCAATGCCTAACTGTCAAGCAAGGGTTCAAAGCACTCACATTGTCAGCCTCAGATTCAAAAGCAGCCTATCTTATTATCAGATGTTAATTCATCTATTTGTGGTATCCTTTACTCTTGACGGGTCATTCAAACCCCAAGCGCCTTTCAACACCCTGTCAAGTATAAAAATGAAAGCTTTTGTTCTGATGTCGGAAACATCCCCCCTCCTCCCCCAAAATCACCAGAGTGCCTCTAACTTTAATTTGATGATTATCATACCCTGCAGTTAAAGACCTATAATTATTTTTGTTGTCTTTCAAAAACCCTTGGGGAGCTGTAGTTTTCACTCATAACACAGTCTGCTAAATGTCAAAAAAATAATTTCTAGCATTCAGAGACAGGTCTAGTGATTAAGAATGGATGCATAGATATATATATATATATATACAGTGTATTTTGAGATTTAGCTTTCAAGTTCATCAGGCCATTGTAATAATGGTGGCACACGTGGCGTTTCTGTAGATGGAAATAAGAGAATCTGCATATAGAATGAGTGTTTGTATTTGTGCTCAGAATGATGGTCCTTGTGGTGTTGCTGCTCATTCGGCTTCCTCATATGGCATGCAAGGCTCCCGTTAAATGCAGGGTCCAGTATCCACACAGTCCACTGCACAAATACCATCGGAAAGGAGACCTCATCATTGGTGTCATTGCCTCTCAAAGTTTCATCGTGTCCAGCTCAATATCATTCACTGAAATACCACCTCCAGTATCAGCTGAAGAGTTGATGTAAGATTTTTCTTTTTTCTTTTTTCCATTTTCTTCATTTGTGCAGAGTAAGAAGTGTCATGGTGTGAGGAGATCAGTCCTATGAACGTTACTTACTTACTTCCTTACTTACTTACTTACCTGCTTCTCCAAGGAGCTCAATATGATTCTTTTCCTCCCCCTTTTATTATCACAGCAACCCTGTGTGTTCGGCTGAGAGATTGTGAGTGGCCCAAAATCACCCAGAGAGTTTCATGTCTGAGTGCATATTGAAACCCTTGGATCATAACACAGTGCACACCTTCAGTGATCTGAATCTGTCCTTTTCACTTTGTCTCCTATTAACTACTTAAATACCAAAGGAAATCCTGAACATGGATGTCTTCTCTCTCAATTGTCCTTAACGTTTATGCTTGAAGAAACTTTCTGCTTCTTATCATGGATGGGGGAGGCAGTACTAGAATCAATGTAAGCTCCCAACCACCCAAAAACTATGACCAGTTAGTACCTCACACCAAGCTTCTCTAAAATTATTATTCGAGCTCACAATTTTCTCTTTCACCTTAATTCTAAGTCCACATTCCTTCTGATATTTTTTCACATAAAAGTAGTTTGTTTCTTTAGTCTGATTTACATCATAAGAATCTTTAAGCATCTGTAATTTGACTACTGCCGCACATAGAAATGGATGGTAAATGTTAATAGTATATAATAAGAAGGTTATTCGTATGAATGTACATACTGTAGGATTAGAACATAATTAGAAATATAATTAGAAACAGTGTTTATGTGTGAGGGAGTGCAAAATAGTGTTTCCAAGCTATTTTAAATCATAGAGATTACAGTAGAGCCTTCTCTACGTAAGTAAATTATCACAACATTATCCAGAATTCCAAGTTTTAACAGTGATGGTGTTAAACAACTGATAGCGTTCATCAAAATGTGAAATTCTGCATACTGTCATTGTAATGTATCTATTCTAATACAGAATGTAACTCTTGTTTTAGAGTAGTACCTAAAAATTACCAGCATATCTTGGCCTTGGAATTTGCAGTAAAGGAGATCAATGAAAACCCTCAGCTCTTACCCAATGTCACTTTGGGTTTCGACATCTATGACAGTCATTTTACTGCAATGAGGACCTATCATGCCACCATGTTACTCATGTCCACATTGGAGAGATTTTTCCCTAACTATGTATGTGACACCCCGAATAACCTAATAGCTGTCATTGGAGGACTGGACTCTGAAACCTCCCTTCATGTGGCAAATATCTTGGATATCTACAAGATGCCCCAGGTAAGATGTTTATGGGTATATTTTTGTGTACACGTCTCTCTCTCTCTCTCTCTCTATATATATATATATAGTCTACCATAGAACTGTAACACTTCTGCACACATGCACAATCCTTGCAGATTACACGTCATGTTTGACAACAGAAATAGGTGCATTTTATGTACTCAAATATATTTGAATGCCATATGTTAAGTCAAGGACACTTGAACTTTCACAATGGAGAGGAAGGAAATTGTTGTGAATTTAGACTATGATTATATTGGTGACTTTTTTTTTTAATGATCAGAATACAGTGGTGCCCCGCAAGACGAATGCCTCGCAAGACGGAAAACTCGCTAGATGAAAGAGTTTTCCGTTTTGGAGGTGCTTCGCAAAACGAATCTCCTATGGGCTTGCTTCGCAAGACGAAAATGTCTTGCAAGTTCCTGCGGGTTTTTTTCCTCCCCCCTTTTTCTAAGCTGCTAAGCCGCTTATCAGCTGATCCGATAAGCCGATAAGCCGCTAAAAGCCGCTAAAAGCCGCTAATAGCGCTAATCCGCTAATCCGTCAATGGGCTTGCTTCGCAAGACAAAAAAACCGCTAGACGAAGAGAATCACAGAACGGATTCTTTTCGTCTTGCGAGGCACCACTGTACTTACCACCCCCACTTTCTTCACATTGTAAAATGATAGATTAGTTGCCAGGATTGACCTTTCCCTTACATGTTGAAGTAGCTAATCTGACAGAACAAAAGATTTAGCCAGAATCTCTTTCCCTGATTCTTAAGAGCAGGGGTCCTCAAACTATGGACCGTGGGCCAGATCTGGACTGCTGGGGTCCTAGATCCGGACCACCCAGCAACTGCCCTAAGCCCTCTCCCTCCCTCCTTTATTCCTCACCCCATGAAGGCACATTAACCCTTCGGCGCCCGTGCAGTGCAGCTTCCTCCCATTTTCTCCCACTAACATGGGGAGGGGCAGCAGGGAAACCGCCAAGGGAGGTGACGCTGAGCAGCCGTCGGTTAAATGCCCTTGCGCAGTAGGGTGGCAGAGGTGTTGTTGTTTGTGAAGCAAGCTTTCTGGAGGCTGGGCAGCGGCGTGATAGCCTCCAGCCTGTTGGGCTCCGCGGCGAGCAAGACCAGCCTGGAAGCCGCATGTGTGGAAATGGAGGCAGGGAGGAGGGTGGCCAGAGTCCAGCGGGGACAGGGCTGCTGCTGGACCCTGGAAGTGCAGGGATTGGGAAGGGGGATGTTTGCTGGTGTCGCTGAAGCCTGATGCAAGCGGTGACTTCCCGAAGGTGAAGGAGGAGCCCCTTCCTTTTTCGCCTCTCCACATCCTCCCTTTCTCCAGGGTCTCCTCTTCTCTGGTCTCCCGAGGCCAGAAGGGAATCATCTGCTGGCGGGGACAGCGTTGGTTTCGCTGCGCTGTGCACCCGGCAGTTGGGGAAGGAGCCTCCTGCATCTTGCACACCTGGCGAATGGGACGGATTCTGCCCCTTTACACGCACGACTCCAGCATTACACTAAAGCTTTCCTTATGAGTCACCCCTGCTCCTACTCCGACACAAGAAAAGCTCTCTGCCCCCCCCTCGCCCAGTTATCAGAACAGTGACAAAATAATTTCTCCCGCTTTGCAGTGGCAAAAATAGGTGACAGTGTAGAAGTGGGTGCACTCTGAGACATATCTTAATCTCAGGAACCATGCACTTAAAACTGCAACCATCTTTGGCAGCACCTATGTCTGTGAACAGACTTTTCCCTGAATGAAACATCTGAAATCTCCAGCAAGATCCAGACTAACTGATGAACACTTGCATCACTTGCTACGACTAGCAGTGACAAATATGGAACCGGATATTGACCATCTCATTAGCCAAAACCAGGCCCGTGCTTCCCATTGAAATACTTATAAGTTTATGTTGATTAAAGTCGTTCTTCATTTTAAATATTGTATTGATTTTCCTGTATTTTGTGCACTATAAATAAAATATGTGCAGTTTGCATAGGAATTCATTCATATTTTTTTCAAACTATCGTCTGGCTCCCAACAGTGTCTGAGGTACAGTGAACTAGGCACCTGTGTAAAAAGTTTGAGGACTCCTGCTTAAGAGTTATGTAGCTGTTAATGAATGAACATGATCCTCAGCAACTGGCATCCAGAGGTATACTGCCTCCAATGCTGGAGGCAATATATACACATAATAACGGAAGAAATGTAATGTTTAATGAATTGGCATTATGAGCTGAGTAATCCCCATTCCAATACTTCCGTCAGCGATACATATATGGAGCAGAGGTATTTCAAAAGTGTGCTGCCAATATGGCAGTTGTGTTACAAGATTGGACCTAGTGGTCTTCATCAGAGTTGCTTCTATGTGACCCTCACCTGATGGAAGTGTGGAGCCCTATGAGAATGTGATTTTTCAGTAGTGAAATCATATGTGGGGACGATTGTCTCTAGTGTGAGCTGCCTAGCACCATCTTTAGTCCTCAAGTCCACTTTGCTGACCTTGGACTTTTGTTCATTAATGTTGCCTCCAACGGTAGTAGCGGTTACCTTTTATTTTTATTTTCTTCGTAATTTTTTTTATTCACCCTCCACCATTTTAACAATATAGAACATTTATATACTCTCAATCTGAAAAATACAAGAACAAATACATATGCATATACATATACATATACATATACATATACATATACATATACATATACATTATTTGTTCTTGGTTTTGTTCTAGTGCTTACATTTAAGTGGGGTGGGTAGGACTTCTACTTGTTAATATGTTACTAAATGAACATTTTAAGTATTGTATTGTTTATTAACTTAAATTGTTATGTATTAAATTTCTTTTATGTGGCATATTTTTTCTGTGCAAGTCACTTTGTGACTTTTTACTGTATAAAGTGACTGATAAATGCAAGCAACAACAATGCTGATGATTGCTGTTATAAAGAAAGCAAATAGTTCAGAACACTAGAAAGGCCCATAACAATTGTATACTTATTTTATATTTACTTTATCTTCATTTCCTTCTCTCTTAAATCTTCTTTTAGCTAGTATATAGCCCTGCCCCGGTGATGAATGATAAAACACCAGGCCTCCCTTTCTATCAGATGATTCCGAAGGAAACCATTCAGTATGAGGGGATTCTCTCTTTGCTTCTGCATTTCAAATGGACATGGGTTGGGGTTGTTCTTATGGATACTACTGAAGGAGAAAGATTTGTGCAAACTGTGGTTCCAATGTTTTCCCAGAATGGCGTCTGTTTTGATTTCATAGTAAGAATCCCCACACTAACTTTTGTCCCCAATGTTAAAGAGATTCTTGCCCATGGGGCAAAAATATATGTCAAGGTGATGGCCAGCAAAGCCAGTGCTATGCTGGCATATGGGCCGTCTTATTCCATGGCATTTTTTAGATTTTTCCCATTTTTATCAGAAGAAAAGCAAGTGTCAGATTATCCAAAAGGCAAAGTGTGGATTAGAACAGCCCAGGTGGAGCTCACTTCATTTGTTTTTCAGAAGGATTGGGATATGCAAATTTTCCCTGGAGCCATATCCTTACAAATTCACTCCAGTGATCTCCCACGTTTTCACCAATTTGTTGAGAGCAGAAAACCCTCTAACACGGCAGGAGATGGTTTCATCAGGGACTTCTGGCAAAATGCCTTCGGCTGTGTGTTTCTGCATCAAGATATGGATGTGGTGGAAGGGGACATTTGCACTGAGGAAGAGAAGCTGGAGAGCCTTACGGCACCATTTTTTGAAATGAGTATGATTGGCCACAGCTACAGCATCTACAATGCTATCTATGCTGTGGCCCATGCTTTGCATGCCATGCCCTCCTCTAGACTCAAATACATGGGGTTGTTGAATGGAGGGAGACTGAAGCTTCAGAATCTACATCCATGGCAGGTAATGTAGGAATTCTTTGCCAACTTGGGCTCCTTTGGGAGGAAGGGTGGAGTATAAATGTAATAATAAAAGCAAAATGCTTAACATCCTCATATGGCGGTGCATACCTTTTTGGGGGCGGGGGATGAAACTACACCTTCATCCATGTACTAAATGTCTCCCCAAACTGTATCAGTGTTCCCATTTTCACCCTCCTTCCACTCTATACAATTAAATTATTTGTCTCCATTATCTCTCTGTGTAACATAAGCACAGTACAGTATATATATCTGCACAGGGCTTTTTTCCAGCAGGAACTCAATGGAATTGAGTTCCTGCACCTCTATAGTGAGCATGATTGCCAGTCTAAGAGAATGGGGGAGGTGTTCAGGGTGAATTCCAGCCCCTCTTTTTCTAGAAAAATAGCGCTGAGTCTGCATTGTCTGAATGACATACTCCTGCTATCTCAGAGTCGATAAGCATTGAGATGAATGAGCTCTTCCATCACACATTGGATTGGTTCAGAAAAGAACCATGCTATTCCTAATTAAATTGGAAAACAGTTTCATTCGTTGCTGAAGGAACCCAACTGTTTCTGTTGTTTGCTATGGAGTTGATATGGGCAGCTGTCTATAGCAAAGTTGACTTGGGTTCCAATATTTATCATCAAAAGGGGTCCATTTTACATTTTGGCCAACAGAGATATATATATAAATAAACCATCCATTGAATCGAACCCCTAGTTTTCTTGGGTTCACATCTTCAAAGCTGCTTCAAATAGAAGAGCCTGAGAAAACCATAGCTAGGAGCAGAAGCCCAATCCCAGACAAAGCACAGTGATCAGTTAAGTATGAGATGATCAAAACTATACATAGAGAGGCCAATTTTACTTAGTTCAAAGGGACATAGCAGCGCTGGATTTAAGGCAGTGCAGGCAGTTCCCACACACAGCAGCAAGCCAATGAGGGCACAAAATAATAATGAATAAAAATGAATTATTGTTAAAACAAGAAATATTTTGGGAGCACCACATTTTGTCCTTGGCCAAGGTGCCCTGGACAGAGTCTTAGATAAGTGTGAATGAAATAGCAATGAATATAAGTAACAGCATTTCTCCCAATCTACCCTTTTCCTTTTCAATTTAGGTCCATCATTCCCTGAGAACTGTCTCATTTAACAACAGTGCTGGGGACACAATTTCTTTTGACAAGAATGGAGAGCTAGTGGCTAGATTTGATGTCATCAACTGGATTTTTTCGTCAAACCAAACTAAACAGAAAATTGGCCAGTTAGATCCTGAGGCTCTTTCAGACCAAGTGTTCACTATCAATGAGGATGTCATAATTTGGCACAGCTGGTTTAACCAGGTAAATTGCTGCTGTTAGCAGTTGAGGAACTGAGCTTTGATCCCTATATGACTGCTGTCCTCCTGTGCAATGTGAATTTTTTGGGAGTTTTCTGGATTTCATTTATCTCTGAAGTAACAATTTATAATTCCCCAGCCTCCAGCAACTTGTGATAACCATTCTAGCATCTTGTGAAATAATCTGTAGTCCACAAAAGTTTGTGCTCAAATACATTTGTTCATCTTTAAGGTGTGAAAGGCACTTTGGTGTTTTTGTTGCAAGAGAACAAATTTGCACCTCTGGTAATTATATCAAATACCATTTTGAAGTCTCCAGCCCTAGGAGCCTTCATAAGGGAGCTATTCCCAGAGGAAGAACCTTAAATGGAGAGAGATTCTGTGTTGGCCATCACCAGTGGTTCTTCTGCTCCAGCAGAAGAAGCCTTCAGAAGAGAGTTGCTGCCATGGGTGTTATGTGTATCTTCATGAGATGAATAGGGTGAAAGATTATGAGTCCAGATGGTATGGAGAGTGTGTATGAACTTAGCAGTGCTTAGTTTATTATTTGGTTGCTATTTGGTAATATTGTTAGTATGGTTTTCAGATGCTGTATTGATTAGTTAATCATACAATACGGCTTTTCCTTTAATTATGATGTTCAGCTTATTTTTTTAGTTGTTGCTTTGTTAAGTGTTTTCTGGATGGTTTCACTAATGATATGTTAATTATTCTATATGATTTATGCTGCATCGGCGTTCTATCATGTTGTTGTTGTTGTTTGTTTGTAAGCCACTTTCGGATTCATTTGAATGAAAAGCTGCATAGAAATATAATCAAAGAAATAGTGCATTAGTATTTTTATCAGCTCAGAACTTAACAATCTTTTCTGGGCTTACCAAAGCGCATTGTTTTCAAAACTGCTATTGCGTGTCGAGACCCCGCAGCCAACCCCTCGTTGGGAAATAACTCACACAAGGACATGGATATTAGGTTTATGTTACTGGGCAAATTTGGCCAGAACTTTATTGAATTACAGAATATAAGTGGTATTGGCTCAGGCATTGATTGGACCTGACTATATCTGACTCCTGCCCACTGCACAGGAAGTCTGGTAAAGGTAAGCCACCGGAAGGGGAAGCCCTGTCGATGCGTGCCAACTAGAGCTCCCCCTAGTGTTCCCATCTGGGTCGTGTCATGGCCCTAGCCCCCGACTGGGCTTCGGACAAGATCAACACCCCCGGGTTCCTTTAACGGAATACCTTTAAGCATGGAGGGGCAGGTGATGGCCACACCTCCCCTCCCCCACACAAGGTCAAACAATGCCTAACCACCACAATTCTCTTTCATTTGCCTTCTTAGACTCGTCCACTCTCAGTTTGTACTGACAGCTGCCATCCTGGTTTTAGCAAGAAAGTGAAGGAGGGGAAACCATTTTGCTGCTATGATTGCATTCCATGTCCAGAAGGGAAGATTTCAGCCCATGAGGGTAAGAAACACACTCTACCTAGAATGGATGTAATTTGGCAAAACGTGAATTCTGGGGTTGCTTTTCTTTGGTATTTACATTGGGTTGCCATACATGGGGAAAACCCAGACATACGGCAGCCCTACTTTACAAGTTCCATACAAATCTTTCTTTAATAGAATGATTTGGTAACTCTGGATAGAAAATTAAAGAAAAAGATAATTCTGATGATATTTGAGGACTGTTCAGTGTTGCATATTCAGTTTTACTTTTGACTTTTGTTTTGAACACCATCAGTAAAATGATGAGTCATTGCCATTTGCAAAAGCTATCATTTTGTTTAAAGTCTTCAGATACTTTAATTGAAAAGAAATGTCAAACTCAAAGTGCAAAATTGTAACATTCATTTCGATAAGAAGCTAATTAAGTGTTTCCCATGTTTTGCTTGTATCTGTCTTAACATTTTTTAAATTGAAAGGTGGAATGTAAATGGCAAATAAATCCCTTGTATCTACGCAAGAGGAACTGTTATGGCATGTTGAATAAATTTATTACACATATCTGAGAGTGAGAGCACACCTTTATTTTTCAGACCTGAGCGACTGTTATGAATGCACAGATGAAACTTTTCCAAATAAAAATCAGGATCTATGCATTCCCAAGCGCATCAGCTACTTGACTTTTGGAGAACCTTTGGGGATCATCTTAGCCTCTTTTGCTCTTTGCCTTTTTTTGATCACAGCTTTGGTGCTGGGAATATTTGTCAAGTGGAAGGATACTCCCATTGTCAAAGCCAACAACCGGAACCTCACCTACACCCTTCTCGTTTCACTTCTGCTCTGTTTCCTGAGTGCTCTGCTATTTATTGGCAAGCCTCACATTGTGACATGTTTCTTCCGGCAAACTGCTTTTGGCATCATCTTCTCAGTGGCTGTTTCTTGTGTGTTGGCAAAAACCATCACAGTAGTTCTGGCTTTCCTGGCCACCAAACCAGGATCCAGGATGAGGAAATGGGTGGGGAAAGGACTGGCAAACACCATTGTGTTTTCTTGCTCCTTTGTTCAAGTAGGCCTCTGCATCATGTGGCTGGTAGCCAATCCTCCATTCCCAGATGTTGACATGCACTCATTGACTGAACAAATTGTACTAGAATGTAATGAGGGATCGGTGACTATGTTTTACTGTGTTCTGGGCTACATGGGGCTCCTGGCCTTTGTGAGCTTTACTGTGGCTTTCCTTGCCAGAAGGTTGCCTGACAGTTTCAACGAAGCCAAGTTTATCACTTTCAGTATGTTACTTTTTTGCAGTGTTTGGTTATCCTTTATTCCATCCTACCTGAGCACTAAGGGGAAGTACATGGTAGCAGTGGAGATCTTTTCTATCTTAGCCTCCAGTGCTGGGTTGCTAGGTTGCATCTTTTCCCCCAAATGTTACATTATTTTGCTGAGACCAGAGCTGAACAACCGGGAACAGCTAATAAGAAGGAAACCTTGAAGAATGCCTATTTCTGAGTCTTTGTTGTTTGCTGTTAAGTGGTGTTTCCACAGCAAAAAATAAAATAAAAAATTAGCTAAGATATATAATGAATCAAATTACATGTGAGAGTTTGAAAGTCACCCATGATCTTGTCAATATCCAAAAGTATGCATATATGTATATGGGGAGTTGGCACAGCTTAAATGCAAACATATACACATACAATGAAAAAAGAAGAAGGCTGTTGTGAAATCTTTTAAGACTTTAGCTGCTCCAGAGATACTGGTCTCAGCATGAATATTGAAATTACTCAAACCAGGTTTTATTCATTTGTTCTTCATTCCTCCTCTGCTATACACATAGCAAGAAAACAACCATGAAAATAGAATTTCTAAGCCATATAGAACCAGTGCAGATACATTCAGTAACTGAAAATAAATCTTGGTTATCTTTATGTTTCCTGAATCATGATTTTACTTTAGGAAGGTTTCATTGTCTGTGCAAAACTCCATTCTTTCCTACAGGAAACTTTACTGATAACAGAGGATTAGTGCGCTGATCTGTACTGCAGGTATTAAGAGGTCCAGATACTTAGTTATAACTTCCTGGTCATGATTAGGATAAAGACAAGTACCAGGTTCAAGATCCTTCATTGAGTGTCTTCTGTATAAACTACAGAAGAAGTTCAGATTGGCATGCACCATTACAATTATATTTGTTAACACTACAGTGGTACCTCTAGTTGTGCTTCGAGCCCCCAAACCCATCCTGAATGGAAATAAAGACACAGTGGAGACAGAATTTAGTTTAAATGTCAATGGACAAATTTTGGCCACAACTTTATTAAAATACACAAATGTGACTGGTATTGGCTTAGGCATTGGTATCAAACTATATCTGGCTCCTGCCACACCCTACAGGAAGTATGGAAGGGTAAACAACCAGCAGGGGATCTCCGTCAATGTATATTGACTGGTTCTCACCCCTGGGCTTCCCAGGGGTCCTGGCATGGCCCTAGCCCCTCTCCGGGCTTCAGATGAGATCCAGACCCCCAGATTCCTTTAATGGAATACACTATTCATTGAAGGGGCAGGTGATGGCCGCACCTCTCCTCCCCACATTCCCCTAAACCAATGCCTAACCGCTAACCCTTACAAAGTTGTGACGATTGCTAAGAGGTAGGCAAAAATCAAGTGGCCACAGCCAATCTGCCACATTGGAAAAAAATTCCTACCTGGCCCCCATTCCAAAAACAGGTGACCAACCGAAGTCCAAAGCACGGCCAAACACGACCTAATTAATGGGTGGGTGGGCGGGTGTTCGGCAGCGCCAAATAGATACCCCCAACCCCCAATCTTGCCATTCCTCTGATTGGCAAAAGGCCATTGGCATAACTGTGGCACCACCGGCTTGGAGTGGGGCAAGCCCTGCCCACAAGCTGGTTAGGGAAGAGTTTCAGGGCTGAGCACAACATGAACCCTCTGTTAGGAGGATCCAATTTATGAACTTAATTCGTTCTGGAGGTCCGTTCTTAACCTGAAACGGTTCTTAACTAGAGGCGTGCTTCCGCTAATGGGGCCTTTTGCTGCTGCCACTATGCTGCCGGTACACAATTTCCCTTCTCATCCTGGGGCAAAGTTCTCAGCTCGAGGTAACTCGAGGTTAGCGGAGTTCGTAACCTGAAGCGTTTGTAACCTGAAGCGTTTGTAACTTGAGGTACCACTGTAGTTGAATTGTGGTTGCTGCTGACGCTGTTTTTAAAATAGGATGTAGTTTTTTCTTAAGCATTCGTACCACTTGAACTTCATTAATGCTACTTAATCTTTACAAGAGTCTTCTTCTGTATGTTTAAGCTCAGTCTCTCCATATACTTAATGTCTGGATTCCTAGAACCAGTGGGTAATGTGGGAAAGACATTGGCCTAATGTCCATCTGTGGGGTAATGGGAGTAATGTCATTCCTTGAGTAGCATGATAATATGACAGAGTTAGGATAGTATTCATTGCAATGCTGCTCCTATCGTTGAGTGGGGGTAAATCTGCCACACCCCAATTTTCATATGGAGAAGACATAAGTTTATTTATAATATATTGCCTTTCATCAGGGGATCAGAGAGTGCTTTACAGTAAAAGGTGACGTGTTCCAGCGGAGGAACATGGGTAGGCATGTAGATCCCAACAGGCCAATCAAGAAGGGGGAGGAACCAGATTGGCTCCACATCCAAACTCTTCCACTTTTCTTCCTTTTCATACCATCCCTCCCATTGCAATGTTGATTTTTGCTGGTAGAGTATTTGGAGGCCGAGTAGGATTTTTTGTGGGAAACTCCTGGTTGGCTTTGGGCTTCCTATTTATCACCATTTCACATTGTTGGGAATTCTTGCCTGTTTGGAGTGGTGGTCCTCCCCTTATTTGGATTAATTGGCTTGTAGTTTGAGTAGGACAGAAAATCTAAACAACTGGTTGAGTAAATACCTGAGATGTGATGGCAAGGCATTGCTGCTGCAGGAGAGGAAGCTCAGGGTGTTTGTTACAAGAGAGGAAATTAAATGCAGCTCCTGAAGTTATATTGTCCTGCACAATCATAAGATACATTGCAAATTTCTATTACACCAAGGTTAATAAAGATGTGGAGTTAGTTAAGCAAATAAAAAGTTCCTCATATTCTTATTTTGGAAGTAGTTGCGGCGGTAGGCCACAAGTATGCTACCTTAGTCAACAGCATAACAGACCAAACAGGAACATCTTCCTCCCCACCCTACCCCATGAATAATATAAAATCAAGCTGTTCATAAGACTGGCAATCTTTGGGCTCATCTTCCCCATTCAAGTTATTTCAGCAGATTCTTTACTCCCCATTGCCATGGACAGAAAGCTAGGACAATGGCCTCCAGTAGTCCATAACTGAGAAAAGACATTTTGGAGTGCCAAATTGTGGGCCCATCCTGGGAACCATATTATGAATGATTACCAAAGTCCTCCTCTAACAACTTGTTGGTTAGCTTCTGAGATAACCAATTATAACATATTGTTAGTAGGCTGTTGCTTCATCATGTCCTTGTTAGGAGGTCTTAGAGAAAGAAGAGACATAGGTGACACCACCCGAGTTCCAGTGATCATGGGTAGCAGAAAACATGGACATGTGGCGGGTGTGTATGCGAGTGACAAGGGTGAGGTTGTTTCAACCTTGTTCTTAACTCCCATACCTCCTATAGGAGGTATGATTGCTCATCTACTGTTCTCATCAGTTTCTCTGTGATGTTGCTTATTGCCAGATTGGTACAAAATAAAGTCTTCATAAATTTATGGTTTGGTTGTGGACAAGGGTTCCAGTTTTACTTGCATAACTGAGACTTTATTTTGTACCAATCTGGTTCCTCACATGGCAAGCAAGGCTCACAGAGTTAAATGCAGGGTCCAGTATCCACATCGTCCACTGCACAAATATCTTCAGTCAGAAGACCTCATCATTGGTGGCATTGTTTCTCATGGTGGTTTCATCTCCAGTTCAATAGAGCCCTGTTTTACAGAAAGTAGCTTCATAAGAAATGATGAGTGTGTGGAATAAAAGAAAATGTACTTTAACTGTAGGATATGTTTTGGTACCTCTTGCTCTAAATAGCATCTTAATCAGAACATATAGTAATATTTGTTGTTAATAATATTGTTAATATTATTGTTGTTGCTGCTGTTATTTCTTTATATAGAGTTTTTAGGAGGCTAAATATTGCCTCAGAAATATGGTATATAAATATTGCAGTAATTATTAATTTAGATGATGATACAGTGATGATCAAGTGTGTATTTCTCTGATACAGAATGTACCTCTAATTCTAGTGTCTTGTCTAAGAATTACCAGCACATTCTGGCCTTGACCTTTGCAGTGAAAGAGATAAATGAAAACCCTAGAATCTTACCCAATATAACTTTGGGCTTTCACATTTATGACAATTATTACAATGCTAAGTGGAGCTTCCATTCTACAATGTTGCTTATTTATACACTGGAGAGATTTTCCCCAAACTATAACTGTGATCTTCAGAATAAACTAACTGCAGTAATTGGGGGACTGGATTCCGAAACTTCTCTTAATATGGCAATTGCCTTGGATATCTACAAGATTCCACAGGTAAGATATTTAAACAGGACACCATTTTCTTTACCTTGCCAGATACAATTCTGTTGCTTGAAAACCACAATGAGTGCATTTGAAGCAATCAGTTGGACCTGATTTTTTGTGTGTCATGTTTAGGATAGTGCAGTATTTATGGTCTTTTCATGATCTAGGAAAATATGTAGCTTCAAATTGGGACTAGATTCCTATGTGTTATGATAAGACCTGAAGCATGAAATAGTCTCTGTAATGTAACAGAGGTCATGTTAATATTCAGTTCCAAATATCAAAAATACAATGTCCTTAATTACTTCCCCCAATATTGTTCATCCTGTGAATTCACATAAGTCATTATTATCGCATCCCGCTCTCATCGTAGTAAAACAACAACTAAAAAGTATTATTAAAAACATCTACTTTAGACTGAAGACTTAGTTTAGGGGGGATTCATTTGCCCGCTTGCCCAGGACCGAGAAGAGCAAAAGAGCACCAAAGAAGCAACTTCCTCTTCAGAGAAAAGAGTTTATTGAGATCTGCGCAGAGGCTGCCAGTGGAATCACTTCCAAAGACTGACCACAAATACATGGCATTTGGCAGGCATTCTTATACTGAAGGTACACCTTTCCCTTCACCAATCACCACTCACCAACCAAGCATTTTACCTTAAGGGGATAATCACATTAAGCAAGTTCCTCACCTATTTCCTTGTCTTATTTGGTAAGCCTTTTCCTTGTGCCTACGTGGCTTCTCATCTACTTGACCAGTGTCATAAACCAAACCTGTTTAAGCAATCTATATTGGAATCTAAAGCCAAAGCTGCTCAGGCAATCTATATTGCAATCTATCACAAGCCAAACCTGTTTAAGCAATCTATATTGTAACAGGGCTAAACCCTCCCTTCCTTCAAGACAAGAAGGACTGACCATGTCTAAGGCTGCTTGTGATGGAAGGAAGGCCTTAGAATCTTCCCTGTGCTCAGCTGCTTACTGCAGTGTAGGCAAATGGCATACCTGGCTGGAATCCATTTCCAACTTAAAGTGATCCCAGGGTTTGTGTGTGATTGTATTTCTTGCTTTTAAAAATGAGTGGGATTTATATAGGCAGCAAATTGAAAAAAGATGCCACCTCCTAGTGCCAAAAAAGAACAAACTAAACAAACAAAAAAGCATCCCTGTGGAGAAGCAAGCCCTCACTTTATTGCCACAATCCAATTTTTAACAGGAGGACCCAATATGAGGATTGTTTCTGCACATGATAGACTAATATTGGAAGAGATATTTGTTTAGGTACCAGGGACATAAGCCATGAAGGGGTTTGTATGTTGAAGCTACAATCTTGAACTGGGCCAGCAAATGCAAGAATACGTAAGCTTTCAGTTTTGAAGGTACACCTTTCCCTTCACCAATCACCACTCGCCAACCAAGCATTTTACCTTAAGGGGATAATCACGTTAAGCAAGTTCCTCACCTATTTCCTTGTCTTATTTGGTAAGCCTTTTCCTTGTGCCTACGTGGCTTCTCATCTACTTGACCAGTGTCATAAACCAAACCTGTTTAAGCAATCTATATTGGAATCTAAAGCCAAAGCTGCTCAGGCAATCTATATTGCAATCTATCACAAGCCAAACCTGTTTAAGCAATCTATATTGTAACAGGGCTAAACCCTCCCTTCCTTCATTCCCTCCTCTTCTTTTGGACAGCCTTCTGGCTCATCCAAGGCAATAGGCTGGTATTCACGCATCAAAGCTATCACTCGGGGACCCATCATGCGCGACATTGTTTTGTTCACCATATTTTGCAAGCATTGCACCAAGCAGGGAATACAGAAGCAAAGAAGCAATAAAAATAAAATTGGTCCTAAGAGCATAAGAAACATTCCTCTGAGCCACCCACTTGGCAAAAACTTGTCCAGCCAAGACATATTCCATCCTTCCCACGTTTGTACAGGGACGTGTGCCACCTTCTCAATACTTGCAGCTAGATTACGGATGGCTTCACCATGATCTGAAATATTGAAGCAGCATGCTCCACCAGTCAGGTTGAGGGCAGCACAAAATCCTCCTTGTTTGGCCAGAATAAAGTCCATTCCCAAACGCAGCTGGAGGACAGCAGTGCGGGTCTCATCCAGCTGGGTGGCAACAAGGCGAAGGGCGGTGGCCGTTGCATTGGCCACAATCTCTACTACTGCATGGAGTCGGATTATGCGGTTTAGATTGTAAATGGGTTCTCTGGCACCTACTACTAACTCATCAGGGTTCCAGGAGGCCGGATCATAGTGGGCAATTATTCGCTCAGGTGGCCATTCGTCCTTTCCCCAGGTCTGCTTGCTCCCTGAGGCTATATTCGTGATATCAACAGATCTGCGGTTGCGGTGGGGAAATGAGGTGGTAGGGAGCAGCCACATGGGGGGTAAAAGGAAGGCTGGATAACAATTGCCCCACCAACCGTTGGGGAGGTGGTGGAAAGCCTTTGTCCCACAAATCCAATATATAGGATCCTTGTTCTGGGTGGCTGTTTGGCCACCCATAGAACTAAAAGCTAAAAGATTCAAATTGGTGCAGGCTCCCCCACACTCAGAGGTATCAGTGGGGTTACACGTACACTTGCATGAGGAGCGCCCAGTAAAAGTTATATTGTGTCCAAGGGTGGCATTTTTGGTCTGGTTGACACAGAACCATCCGGAAATCCGACAAACCCGGAGGGGATAGGAATGATTCCAGTATGGGCCCTACTGGAATTTACCTCCAGTATACTGGATTCGGGTCCGATTAAGAGGCAATGGAAGCAGGGGCATGCCCCCAGCAGCATCCAGAGGTCCCAAGGCACAAACAAGGCAACGGGTCCTATTCTCCACCTTAGCCACCATTTCTGCCGTTTGCAGCCAGCGGTTGTAAGGGTTGTGGATGCCCCGCGTGACCATGAGGCGGGTAATGTTTACCTGGGAGATCCAGGACCCTACTTCCCCCTGGGCCAGAGCGCAGGCGGGTTCCCCAACTAGGAAGAGAAGGAGAACTGTCAGCGGGATGGAGGAGGGATGCTTTTTCCCGCAAATTCTATGGCGCTCGTGCCAGCAAAAGAACAGGCACATCCATATGAGGAAAGCAGTTGAAATGACACCCAACCACCAACCCCAATAGTTCCAGGGTTCCTCCCACCAATAATCAGTCATGGTGTGGCCGGTTGTTGGGAAGGCAGGGGCCGCAAAGAAGTCCGCGAGGTGCCTGGCCTTGCCCTCCTGGGGGGAAGAATCCAGTAGCGGGACGGGGTGGAGTTGGATCGGACAAAGGACCCCGAGGGTGTTCACTGGGCAATGGAAAATGTTCCACAGAGATACCCTATTTTACAGAAATGGATTCCCATAGGTGGTATATTAACCCACCGGACGGAAATGCAAGGCACTGGAGTGGGACCTCCTCCCATATACCCAAAAGATACAATACTGAGATAAAGCAGGGGAAAAGAAAGGAAATAACAGAGATCCTGGCAGGTTCTTGAGCCATGCGTAGAGGTGTCAGCCTCCGGAGTGACACCAGCAGGGCGGTCGTCCACTGGGCGCCTGGAGATGGTCAGCCGGAGGGAGTCTTGAGAGTTAAGAGACACAGTCCAGTCAGATGACGCCTTCTTCACACGAGTATGGTGGACCCAAGGGGTGATGCCAGCAACCTGGTTCAAAGCGGTGCAGGGGCTGGACCAAGACACAAGGAGTTCGAGCCTGGGTCCACCTGTTGAGAGAAAGGAGAACTCGGGAGAGCGACTGAACATAATTATCCATCTCAACATCCTGGACAGGGGTGGGGGAAATCATGCGCACATATGGGACAGGTCTCCCAAACATTAATTCAAAATTCCATGTCGGAGCAGCCACTCCAGATGCACCCACACTCCTTCAGCTGCCTGTCGTGGGATGGGATATTGATTCACTGCAACTGGGTTGGCAAACGGTTTGGGTTTCACAATTATTGGTGGAATATTCTTCGCCATTCCTGGTGGGTTATCCTCCGCCCATACTCCGGGGTTGACGTCATGAAGCAGGCTAACCGGGAGGATTCCCTCCTCTTCTTTTGCCATCATCAAACGCCAATGCTCTCTCAGGGGCATTTCTAAAGAAAGCTCTCCTGCTGATCCAGTTGTCATCATTACTTCCCCCGTTGGTTGGAAGGAAATCTGGGCTTGTAATTTTGATAACAAGTCTTGGCCCAATAAAGGAATGGGACACTCTGGTATATACAAAAATTTGTGTTGGACCACTTGGCCGCCTAGGCGGCAGGTAACAGACTGCAAAAAGGGGCCTTTTGTGATGGGGGCATTGGCATCATCATCAGGGTCCAAAGGAGTATATTGTCTGTATGCCTCCTTGAGACGTTCCAAATATGCCCCGGGGGGCTCTTCAGCCTTCTGGACCACCTCCCTAACTTTCATCAAATTAGTGGGCTTTCGGGAGGCTCGCCTCATTCCAGTTAATACATGTCGGCGATATGTATTTAAGGCATTCTGGCCTCCCACTTCCTGGTAATTCCAGTTAGGGGTTTGTCTAGGGTAAGCATCGTCTATAGCCTGATCTTCCATTTGCTGAGCTCTCAAATGTGCTCTTGCCTCAGCACTCTCCTAGTTTCCTCTGTATTTAGTAATGAATCCAATAGGTACTGTACATCATCATAAGTGGGATTGTAAATTTTGAAAATCCCTTCAAACAATTTTATAATCTTGGCTGGATTTTCCTCAAAAGTGGGATTTTGATTCCTCCAATTACAAACATCTGCACTGGAGAAGGGCACATGTTGGACTGTATAAGTTCTATTTGGCACTACCCCGTTAGGTTGCTATATTGCAATCTATCACAAGCCAAACCTGTTTAAGCAATCTATATTGTAACAGGGCTAAACCCTCCCTTCCTTCAAGACAAGAAGGACTGACCATGTCTAAGGCTGCTTGTGATGGAAGGAAGGCCTTAGAATCTTCCCTGTGCTCAGCTGCTTACTGCAGTGTAGGCAAATGGCATACCTGGCTGGAATCCATTTCCAACTTAAAGTGATCCCAGGGTTTGTGTGTGATTGTATTTCTTGCTTTTAAAAATGAGTGGGATTTATATAGGCAGCAAATTGAAAAAAGATGCCACCTCCTAGTGCCAAAAAAGAACAAACTAAACAAACAAAAAAGCATCCCTGTGGAGAAGCAAGCCCTCACTTTATTGCCACAATCCAATTTTTAACAGGAGGACCCAATATGAGGATTGTTTCTGCACATGATAGACTAATATTGGAAGAGATATTTGTTTAGGTACCAGGGACATAAGCCATGAAGGGGTTTGTATGTTGAAGCTACAATCTTGAACTGGGCCAGCAAATGCAAGAATACGTAAGCTTTCAGTTTTGCTGCCTCATTATTTCTTCTCCTCCTCCTCCTCCTCCTCCTCCTCCTCCTCCTCCTCCTTCTTCTTCTTCTTCTTCTTCTTCTTCTTCTTCTTCTTCTTCTTCACATGCCACCCTTTATCCAAAGATCCCAGAGCAGTGTACAACACAAAGAACATACTTTATACAGCATAATAATAATTTCCAGGGCTCTTTAGCATTTCTCCATACTTTCACTGGGTTCGTAGTTCAGCTTCCTTTGCTGTTGTGTAATGACTGAGGGTGCTGTGCAGTTTCCACCCCTGTTAGTCATTTCTCCAGTGATAATGGGTAACAGAGTAGTCAATGAAAGGGAATGGTGACCTAAGCTGATATTATGCATATTCAGTGATTTGAATAACTGAAAGTGGTAATTAAATACTATGGTTATTTTCCCTCCCATCTCACCCTCAATGCATATTTAGCTAACATATAGCCCTGCTCCAGTGATGAACGATAAAATCCCAGGCCTTTACTTTTACCAGATGGTCCCTAAGGAAGACCTTCAATATGAGGGGATTCTCTCTTTGCTTCTGCGCTTCAGGTGGTCATGGATTGGCATTGTTGTTATGGATACTGACAATGGAGAGAGATTTGTGCAAACTGTGCTTCTAGTGTTTCCCCAAAAAGGTATTTGTATAGACTTTATTGAAAGAATCCCCACTCCAACTTTTATCCCTGATCTAAAAGGCATGCTGGATCGGGGGAAAGAAATACACGATACTCTAATGAACAGCAAAGCCAATGTAATACTGGCATTTGGAGAATCTTATTCTTTATCATTTTTTAGATGGTTGTCATTTCTATCAGAAATGCACAGCCTGTCAAAGAAGCCAAAAGGAAAAGTTTGGATAACTACAGCACAGGTGGAGGTCACGTCATTTTCCTATCAAAGGACTTGGGATGCAGAGATATTCCATGGTGCCATAGGCTTCACATTCCACTCCAGTGATCTGCCAGAATTTCGCCAGTTTGCTAAGGGTAAAAACCCATCCAGCACTTCAGGAGATGATTTCATCAAGGACTTTTGGCAAACTGCTTTTGGATGTGTATTTCTAAACGCAGCTGTGGATGAGGTAGAGGGGGATATTTGCACAGGGGTGGAGAAGCTGGAGGACCTTCCTATCCCCTTCTTTGAAATGAGCATGACTGGACATAGCTACAATGTCTACAATGCAGTCTATGTTGTGGCTCATGCTTTACATGCCATGTCCTTAGCCAGATTCAAACAGAGATCCCTGTTGGCTGGACCGGAATTGAAGCTGCAGAATCAACCATTTTGGCAGGTATTTAGCTAAACATCTTAATGGTTTTGGGTGTGATGGGCTCTGATATGTATAGCAATCTACCTTCACAAACATCCAAGGGCATAGCATGAGGAGGACCAGGGGGGCTGTGGCCCTTGGCACACATCTATGAAAGGGTGTAAGGGGCACAATCATGTACCCCACAACAGGCTTCCTTACTTGCCAAGCTTTGCCCAGGCCAGACCTTCAGGGCTGGAGCAATGATGTTGCCTCCTTACACTTGTGGCCAGTGAAGGGGGCGTCTGGCTGAGAGGGAGGGGGTGCTGCCATTGCTGCCCACCCAGGAGAAGTGAGAGGGTCTGGCAGCTGCCTCCTCCTCTGTGAACAGGGTGCCTCTTCAAGCCTTTCTCCCTCACCTCACTCTCCACTGGCTCAGACCACTGGCTTAGTCAGCAGTGAGGGCTTGGCTTGGTGTGGCCATGCTACCTATGTCCTGGGTTCCAAGAACCCACACTATGCTGCTGCAAACTTCAGCTGATTTTATCAGTCAACTATTCTTTAGTGGCCACCAATTTCTTTCCCTAGAGTGCACTGTATGTTGTATATTTGAACATTCCAGGAAATAAATGGCCCAGGCAAGAAGGGGCTGCTACTTTTTTTTGTTTGTTTGTTTGTAAGCTTGTCCCAACCCAAATCAGATGCACCATTGTGATCCAGGAAAATCATAAAATGGCGGCCAACAAGAGAGACTAAAATTTGTTCAGGGGATAGGGTGGGAATCCCTACCTTAAATAACAAAGTCAATTTTGCAAATAAGAAATAAATGAATAAATTATGAAAGGTGTGACCTAAATTAATGAAAAAATAGAAGAAAGATATTTCTTGCTCACCTCTCCCATTTGTAGCCTTTTATGTGTCGAGGTCCCCAAGCCACCCCTCAAATAACCCACAACTCACACATAATTTTTGTTTAAGGTTTTTAGCATAATTTTGGCCACAACTTTATTAAAATACATATCTGTGAGTGGTTGCTTAGGCATTGGTTAAGACTATCTGTCCCCCCACCTGGGACAGAACTGACTTCCGAATTCCCTCGGAAGCCAGTGAAGGGAAAACAATATTGGGGAGCAATGGAGCTGAGTCACAGGCCCTCACCGCTCACCCACATGCTCCCCAGGGCTTGCCGGCCTTAGTCTCATTTCAGGGATTCTGACGAAATCGTGGCAAGCCCCTGGATTCCTTTAATGGAATTCCCTTGCGCACCAGCATTGGAGGGGCAAGACCAGCCTGTCCTTACCCCTCCTCCAACCAATTTATAACCAATGCCTAACCGCAACCTTACAAGTTGTGATGATTTGCTACGTAGTAGGCAAAAACCAAATGGCTCAGCCAATCAGCCATATGGTCAAAATTCCTACTAGGCTCCTGCCCCAACGGCAGACGACCCCATGACAGGCATAGCAAGGTCAAACAAAACACCCTGAACTCAGGGCGGGCAGGGGGTGATCCGATGCACTCAGCGAAAGAGAAAGCAATAAGCTGAGTGCCCCCAATATTTAAAGCCTTCGGACCCACCCACCACATTGCAACATGCAATTTCCCCAGCAAACCAGCCATCCAATCATTGCCCCAGGCAGCCTTTTTTTACCCCTGCCTGGCAACAGAGGGATGGCTCGGCAGACCCCACCGCAACACGTGCTCTCATTTCAGGGAGAACATGCTTTCTAAAACCATTATTTTTCAGTCTAGCTGCATCACTTTCTGCGAGGTGCCTCATTTAACAACAATGCTGGGGAGAAGATTTCATTTGACAAGAATGGGAAATTAGTAGCTGGATATGATATTATCAACTGTTTACTGTTATCAAATCAGTCAAAAGTGAAGATTGGGAAGGTGGATCCACAGGCTCCTGCTGACCAAGTGTTAGCCATTAATGCAGATGCCATCACATGGCATAGCTGGTTTAACCAGGTAGGATACAATATATAGCAATTTGGGGAGTCTTTGGTTCTTTTCTGAGTACAGGATCTCAGTCATAACAGACAGAATTACTTTCACTAGATACTGCTAATTTAATGGTACTTTAGGGATTTGATCTTTATGAATTGCAATATGATTTAGTCTCATCATACCTCCTGGAATAATTTGCACCTGAATGTGTGCATCAGAATGTTATCTTATTCCAAAAGAAAAGGTAAAGGACCTCTGACAGTTAAGTCCAGTCACAGACGACTCTGGGTTTGCTGCACTCATCTTGCTTTACAGGCCGAGGGAGCCGGCGTTTGTCCGCTGACAGTTTTTCCTGGTTATGTGGTCAGCATGACTAAGCCGCTTCTGGAGCAATGGAACACCAAAACCAGAGCAGCACACGGAAACACCGTTTATCTTCCTGCCGAAGCAGTACCTATTTATCTACTTGCACATTTTTTGGGCATGCTTTCGAATTGCTAGGTTGACAGGAGCTGGGACTGAGCAACGGGAGCTCACCCTGTGGTGGAGATTCGAACCGCCAACATTCTGATCGGCAAGCCCAAGAGGCTCAGTGGTTTAGACCACAGTGCCACCCTCTTTCCCAAATGTTGCTCAGAAGCATCAACAGGCTCAAACAGCTGCAGTCAGATTTTTGAGTGGGGCTGGTTATAGGGAATATATGCCTCTGTTGTTACAGCACCTCCACTGGCTACCACCATTCTGTCTCCAGGCACAATTCAAAGGGCTGGTTATGGCCTATAAAGCCCTACAAAGCTTAGACCATATTTCCTCATACAAAGCTGCCCAGGTTTTGAGCTCCTCAAGGGCCCTTCTCTCAGTCCAACCCCTCTCACAGGAAGTTTTGTGGGGATGCAGGAAAGGACCTTCTCAGTGGTTGCTCCCAGACTCTGAAACGAACTTCCTGAAGAAACTAGACTGGCTCCCTCCTTTTTGTCCTTCTGCTGAGAGAAAGAACATCTTGTTCTAACAGACTTTTGGGAATTGATTGTTTTTAATGAAAGGGTTGGCGCTGTGCTGTTTTTATTGTAATCATTTGTATGTTCTAAGCAGATTTTATATATGTATATGGTTTTAATTCTATTAAATTGTTTTTTTATATATATTTTTTACCAAATCTTGTTTTATATGGAAGCTGCCTTGATGCCTGTCAGGAGAAAATGCAGTAGTAAATAGATATATAATAATCTAATAACACACAATCTATAAAAGCTATAGACAGATCAACATAATTATATCTATATCTATATCTATCTATCTATCTATAATCTATATAGATATAGATATATGTATACATATATACATATATACACAGTACGACAATGACTATAGCTTTTCTAGATCTATAGGGTAGGAGGGAAAAACATTTTGAATAATTAAACATGGCGGATGGCCATCTCAGTTACGAAGATGCAAGCAAGAGAACAAGGGAAAAGGTGCACCTCAAAAAAGCAGAATAATACTTGAAATTTATTTAAATATGAGGTGACTGAAGTAGTACTTTCTGAATGTCCTGAATCATCATCAGATGTCTATGAGTTCCAGTGTTATGAGAGAGGGTGAAACACTTTTCTCTATGCACCTCCCCTATGCCAAGCTTAACTTTGTAAATTTCTACTAAATCACCTCTCATTCATTTTTCATTTAAATTAAAGAAGTCCCAAACCTGTAACCTTTCTTTGTAAGGGAGTCACCCCATCCACTTGATTGTATTAGTTCCCCTTTTCCGAACTTTCCCCAACTCTACAATGTCCATTTTGAGGTGATCTGAACTGTACACAGTATTCCAAATGTGGTTGCACCATAGATTTGTGTAATGGCAATACGATTTTGGAAATTCGATATTTTATATTTTATTAGGCTTGGTGTCACAGGTCTATTTTTTCAGGTGGGTAGGGCTGCCCACCTCTTAATCATATGACATCATTAGGATATAACATGATAGTTGGACAGCTTCACTGCCCACCTCTCAAAATCTCTTGTGCAGGGATGGGAAACCAAATGTGGACTAGAAACCCTCCCCAATTTGCACCTGAGGCAAATTGTTTTGAACTGTGTTTTGTTCAGAGCATGCCCATTTGTCCCAGACCTCATATCATATATATCATATGTGGGACATGTAGAGATGTACCTGGATCCAACCCACCTATTAAATTTGGCTTCTTTTTTGGTAAACAAAGATCTGGGCCCCCTCTGCCCTACAACCTCAGAACTTCCAAGGTAATAATATTAAAATATAATTGTGGTCCTCTTTTATTTGTGGATTAGACACGACCTCTTTCCCTATGCACTGAGACTTGCAAGCCAGGTTTTAGCAAGAAAGTGAAGGAAGGGGAGCCATTTTGCTGTTATGATTGCATCTCATGCCCAGCAGGGAAGATTTCATATGAGGGTAAGACCCAGAGTTTTCTTAATATGATTGGCTATATGTAAAGAAATAGGCCTCTAAAATAAGGAACACAAAGTGATTATGGTAAGTCTGAGTCAGAGGGACTTGTTGGAGATGCAAAAATCCAGTATGGTTTTCTTGGTGGAATCATTTGACCTTGTTTCGAATGTGAGCTGGTCGCCCATGGCCTCCTTGCCTAAACTTCATCCCAAGACCTCAGAACAGGTAAAGAGAGGGGTTGGTCTCATCTGACATCCTTGTATGAGTTTCTGTGTTTATGAGCAATCTCCTCCTTGAAGTCTCATTCAGGTTCACAAATGCAGTGTGGCTAATAGTTATTTATCGACTCAACAATAGGGAAGTTGGGATAGGCTTGGAAGATTATGGCCTCTGTGGTTCATATTTATCTTCCAAAATCCTGTTGTCTCATTATTGGAAAACAAGAGGGTTGGCTTCTGGAAATTTTGTTTATATAAAATACAGTTGCATATAAAAATATGCAATATACATATTAATTTCCCTTCTGACACACTCCGCCTCCCAGCCTCTGGGTCCTCATGTAGGGTCCAAACTCTCAGCTCACCCACAAAAGTCTTGCAATGAGAAGAGTTCCTGGAAACAGTGGACATCACCCTAGTCTCTTGTTTCTTATGAGCAGGCACAAGCGGGATGGTAGTTCCTCAGGCTGCCCACAACTATGTCCCATTCAGTTGCACTCTCCACAACCAGTTCCAGGAGCAGCAGGTTTGTTGAGTTTCTCAGGCTGTCCAAAGAATGGGGAAGGGATCCCCTCACTCAGAGCCCCCCATTTGTATTATTATTGAATTTATATACCGCCCTATACCAGAGGTCTCTCTCTTCACCTCTGTCCTTTTCTCCTCCAGCTGCTAGAGAGAGAGAGAGAGAGAGAGAGAGAGAGAGAGAGAGAGAGAGGTGACATGAGAAGTGAGCACAATGTACTAGTTGAGAAGAAAGTATACATTTTAATTCATTTTAGATTAAAAAAATGAAAATAGCATAAAGAGTAAAACAAAACAAAAAACAGCATAACGGCTTACTAAATTGTCTTCAACATTGATTATAAACTGCCTTAGAAAAGGAAAATCAGGACCTGGTGTAACATTGTCCTTGGTAATGCACTACATCTGAGGTTTTGTTGTATATATTCAAAAATGCCCAATTTTCATAGATAAATCATTGCTTGGAGTCTCTTGGGGTGACAGGACTACATAAATTTTTAATCTATGCAAGATTAGCATGGATTGCATGGTTTGGGGACACCAGTATAAACCTCATAACTCATTGCTTCTTTTTCAGATATGAATGACTGTTTTAAATGTCCAGATGAATATTATCCCAACAAAAAACAGGATTTATGTATTCTGAAGGAAATAAGCTTCTTGTCTTATGAAGAACCTTTGGGGATCAGTTTAGCTTGTTTTTCGATTTCCTCTTCAATCATCACAGCTCTGGTGCTAGGGACGTTTCTGAAGCACCACAACACTCCCATTGTCAAAGCCAACAACCGCGACCTTACCTACATCCTCCTCCTGTCCCTCCTACTCTGCTTCCTTTGTGCATTGCTATTCATTGGACAGCCTCAGAAGGTGACATGTCTTCTGCAACAACCTTTTTTTGGCATCATCTTCTCAGTGGCTTGTGTGCTGGCAAAAACGATTCTGGCTTTCATGGCCACCAAACCAGGATCCAGGATGAGGAAATGGGTGGGGAAGAGGCTGGCCAACTCCATTGTGATTTCCTGCTCCTTTATTCAAGCAACCATTTGTATTATGTGGTTGGCATTTTCTCCCCCATTCCCAGATGTCGATAAGCACTCAACTTATGGAGAAATTGTTCTAGAATGCAATGAGGGTTCTGTAACTATGTTTTACTGTGTCCTGGGTTACATGGGCTTTCTGGCTATGGCCAGTTTCAGTGTGGCTTTCCTTGCCAGGAAGTTGCCTGACAGTTTCAATGAAGCCAAGTTCATCACTTTCAGCATGTTGGTCTTTTGCAGTGTTTGGTTATCCTTTATTCCCTCCTACCTGAGCACTAAAGGAAAATATATGGTATCTGTGGAGATCTTTTCCATCTTAGCCTCCAGTGCTGGGTTGCTGGGGTGCATCTTTTCCCCTAAATGCTATATCATTGTTTTAAGGCCTGAACTAAACGATAAGGAACAGCTGATAAGACGAAAGGCTGGATGAATGTGTGGGTGTGTTTTGCTTTAGTCTGCACAACCAATAGATATTTGGTTGTTTGGGTGTTTATGAATTTTTTTTTCTTGGTAGATCTGTTCTATTTGAATTTTCTTTGGACCTCTCTATCTTTTAAACATATATACACACTCTCTTTCCTAAAAAACAAAACCCTTGCACTCTGTAGCAAGATCTCCTTATGTATATACATGTGGCCATACATTTGAATTATTTAGAGCAAGTCATCTTGCAACCCATGAACCTATAACACCAGTGGCGTAGCGTGGGTTGTCAGCACCCGGGGCAAGGCAAGTAATTTGCGCCCCCTAACCCGTGGATTTTAGCACTCGAGTCTCTTCCGCCCCCCCCCCCCCCGATGTTGTGCCCGGTGCGGCCGGCCCCCCCTGCACCCCCCACGCTACGCAGAGTAGAGCAGAGTTGTGTAACTTAAACTCTAAGAGTAAGGATTCAGAGAATTTAGCCAAATAATGAATGTGCATAGCCTGGACACAATGAGGAGAACACTCCACAAATAGGGAATCACGGCAGAAAAAAGGCCTGTTCTCCTGTTGCCACCCTCTGGATCTCTTGTGGAGCAGGCACAGGAAGAAGGGCCTCATATGATGAGCACATGGTCTGGGTCAGTTCATTTGGGGAGAGGAAGTCCTTGTGGCATTGTGATCCTGAACAACTGAAGGCTTCATTGGAAAAACCAGCACTTTTATTTGACCTGGAAACTAATGGGTAGTGTGGCAGTTGTGCCATTATTATTGTTATATTCTCAAACAATCTTGCACCGGTGAGCAACCTGGCCACTGAATTCTACACTAGCTGTAGTTTCCAAACAATCTTCGGAGGCAGACCCTTATATAACACATTGCTGTGATCTCACCTAAAAGTTACCTTTCAAGTACTCATCCAAGCCAAAGCATCCTTTGATACTCAAGTAAATGGAAGGAAAGAGGAAATCTTCAGATGTAACAAACAAGTTTCCTTCTGCAATTACACAGAGGAACCCCAACCTTGACTTTGTAATTATTTCCCTCTGTTATTACAGCAATTACTATTATTATGTTGCATGTTGAACCTCCTGTGGAATTTGAATAGGAAAGAAATTGAAAGTTGTTATTTAGTCAATATACCCATTAGAATTTATAACTACTGTAAGGGTATAGTGGTGATTAAACTTCAGGGTTCTGGCCTATTTGAAAACTGAATAAACATTTAAATCAGCTGGTGACATTCAAATAATGGAATTTTCAGTGAAAAGACATACATACACCCTTCTGCCTTCATTCCTGCGAACACAATGTGGACATAACATCAACTTCATGTAGTACAGTCTAGTAGATATTCGATACCACATGTGGGTTAATTTTAGCATAGTCCCATGAAAAGCACTGGAGATGAGAACGTGGGGACTCTTCCTGGGCCTTTCTTCGAATTGAACATGATTGGCCATAGCTACAGTATCTACATGGCTGTTTATGCCATGGCACATGCTGTTCATGACATGGTCTCATGGAGACTCAAATCAAGAATGTTAAAAGACCAAGGGCAGTTGTCATTTCAAAATCAACAGCCATGGCAGGTAATGAAGCAAATTTTCTCTTGCAATAGGGCACCATATAGAATCATAGAATCATAGAATCATAGAGTTGGAATAGACCATAAGGGCCATCGAGTCCAACCCCCTGCGAAGCAAGAAGCACCATCAGAGCACTCCTGACATATGGTTGTCAAGCCTCTGCTTAAAGACCTCCAAAGAAAGAGACTCCACCACACTCCTTGGCAGCAAATTCCACTGTCAAACAGCTCTTACTGTCAGGAAGTTCTTCCTAATGTTTAGGTGGAATCTTCTTTCTTGTAGTTTGGATCCATTGCTCCGTGTCCGCTTCTCTGGAGCAGCAAAAAACAACCTTTCTCCCTCCTCTATATGACATCCTTTTATATATTTGAACATGGCTATCATATCACCCCTTAACCTCCTCTTCTCCAGGCTAAACATGCCCAGCTCCCTTAGCCGTTCCTCATAAGGCATCAATTCCAGGCCTTTGACCATTTTGGTTGCCCTCCTTTGGACACGTTCCAGTTTGTCAGTGTCGTTCTTGAACTGTGTTGCCCAGAACTGGACACAGTACTCCAGGTGAGGTCTGACCAGAGCAGAATACAGTGGCACTATTACTTCCCTTGATCTAGATGCTATACTCCTATTGATGCAGCCCAGAATTGCATTGGCTTTTTTAGCTGCCACGTCACACTGTTGGCTCATGTCAAGTTTGTGGACAACCAAGACTCCTAGATCATGGGTGATGAAATAGTCCATGGTTTGTTCACTAAATTATCTCCCTGATTTTTTTTCGGTTTGTTTCTTTGTTTGTTCTTTTTGAGACTGTTGCCACTGAATACATTTGTAAGACTGATACACATCCTCTTCTTCTCATTTCCTTTTTAAAATATAGTTCCATCATTTCCTCAGAGGTGTATTATTTAATAATAGTGCTGGAGATGAGGTTTCCTTTAACCATAATGGGGAGTTGAAAGTTGGGTTGGATGTTATTAATTGGATTGTTTCCCTAAACCAATCATTTCATAAAATTAAAGTTGGGAGGATGGATCTCCAGACTTCTTCACATCAAGTTTTCACCATCCACGAGGATGCTATAACATGGCAAAGGCGGTTTAACAAGGTAGGGAGATATCCAATTTGGAATGAACATTGACTTCAGTACTGTTTGTAAACATCATTTCACTTGACCACAATGATTTTGTGATGTATGAAGAATTATTGAGCTGGTCAGGGAAATTACACTTCATGAACTTATTCACCACGGTAGTGTTACAGATAATTAATATTTTGAGAATTATTATTTTTTTGAGAAATTGATAGATGAACTAAATATATTTATCTTTTGCTTTGAATATATGTCAAATGATGATCTTTGGTTGAGATCCAAAGTTTGTCATGCAAATTGATTTCATTGTATCAGTTCAGAGCACTCCATCTTTGAATATCACTTAAGATCATTTTCATTCAAAACATTCAAAATTCCATCAATAAGACCAAAGTACAGTAGTACCTCGGGTTACAAACTTTGCCCCAGGATGAGAACGGAAATCGTGTGCCGCGTTGCGGCGTCAGTAGGAGGCCCCATTAGCGAAAGCACACCACAGGTTAAGAACAGACGTCCAGAATGAATTAAGTTCATAACCCGAGGTACCCCTGTATATGTGACCTTTACTCATTTTATTTATGAAATAATCTTCGGCAGCGTGGTTGAAACCAGCTCTATGAAAAGGAAGGAAGTGGAAAAACCAGGTAGAATCTCCTCTTTTGTTCCCCACCTTTCCATCAAGTGGAAAACATTATTTCTTGCTTGCCTCTATCAAACCAGAACTTCACTATTTAGAACACTAACTCTATCATCTTCCTAATGCCCAATGAAAAAGGCAATTAGAAGCATTTCTTTTTACTTCTTTCCTTCTTAAACAAGAAACCGATTTAGAATTCTTCTCCTGTCCTGTACCTTTTGGTTAAAAAAGGAAATAAAATCAATCACTTTCTCTCTCTCTCTCTCTCTCTCTCTCTCTCTCTCTCTCTCTCTCTCACACACACACACACACACACACACACACACAGAGAGAGAGAGACAGACAGACAGACAGACACAAACACAAGCTAGGGATGGGATCTATGCAAATTTACAAAGAGCAACCATCATGTGAAGAATGCAGGGTTCTGATTTGCTTATGGTGAGCAGTCAACAGCCGGCCCTGCAACTGCTTTTTTGTTTGTTTGTGTGCCTTTGAGGCTTCTCCTGCTTTACCTTCTAATAGAGTAAAAGGAGCAGACAATTGCTATGCCTGTCATACTTTAAGGTCTTTCCTTTCATTAAGTGTCTTCCCTCTCTGCAGACAAAGTTGGAATCTGCTGCTCGTGGTTTTTATTACTGGATGTTAGACATGAACATCTAGAAAACATCTCAGTTACAGAAAATATATTCATATGATTGTGGGTGACAGGAGAAAGCCTGAACCATCCTTGGTGATTGGGGAGGGAGTTGGATTCTTCTCAGGTCTCTGCCCACTTTTCTAGTAACAGGAGTCAGCTCTACTGGAACCATAAAGATTCCCAGCTCTATATTTTATTTTGTTTCATGGATTAGGCAAGGCCTATTTCTGTATGCAGTGAGAGTTGCAGTCCTGGTTCAAGCAAGAAAATGAAGGAGGGGGAGACATTTTGTTGCTACGATTGCACTCCCTGTCCAGAAGGGAAGATTTCAGACCAGATAGGTAAGCAATATCACATACAGAAATAGGAAGCAGATGGCCAGTAATCCAGAGGAATGGGAAGAAATATATGCATACAATATGGTTACAGGTTTTATTCTTTTTTTTAAAAAAAAGATTTTTTTGAGGTGGGGAATGGTAAATCTGAGTGATGCAGAGGGCCTTGTTGAAGATGCAAAAATCCAACCTGGTTTCCTTGGTGGAATAATTTGCCCTTGTGTTGAATGTAAGTTGATCGGTCCATGGCCTCCTTGCCTCATCTTCATCCCGTGACCTCCGAACAGGCAAAAAGAGGGGTTGGTTTTACCTGTCTTCCTTGTATGAGTTTCTGTGTTTATAAGCAATCTCCTCCTTGAAGTCTCATTCAGATCCACAAATGCAGTGTGGCTAATAGTTTATCTGCTCAGCTATAGGGATGTTGAGATGGGCTTGCAAGATTATGGCCTCTGTGGTTGACAATCACCTTCGCCAATCCTGTTGTCTCGTAATAGGAGAACAAGGGGTTTGGCTTCTGAAAACTTTGTTTATATAAAATATACAATTGCATATAAAAATGTTACATTTGCACACACACACAAGCAAGCAAGCAAGCAAGCGCGCGCGCGCACACACACACACACACACACACACACATTTTCCTTCTGACATACCCTGCCTCTCAGCCTCTGGGTTCTCACCTAGGATCCATGCAAACTCTCAGCTCAACTAAAAAGGTCTAGCAATGAGAAGAGTTCCTGGAAACAGTGGACATCACCCTAGTCTCTTGTTTCTTATGGGCAGGCACAGGGGAGTTGGTTCTTCCTCAGGCTGCCGTCAGCTGTGTCCGATTCAGCTGCACACCCAGTTCCAGGAGCAACAGGTTTGTTGAGTTTCCCAGGTGGTCCAAAGGGTGGGGAAAGGGCACCTTTTCACTCACACCCCGTTGATTGACTGATTGATAAATGAATCTGTACATCCCCTATACCCAGAGGTCTCTTCCTTTTTTACCTTCTGTACCGCTTTATATTTTTAAGAAAAATCTAAAAAAGGCTTTACAGCTTATCAAATCAATAAAATATAAATAAAACAATCTGAAGAAAGTCAAATATACAGTATGAAGTCAAAGAAACATAACAGCAAACTAAAATATTATCTTAATGATTTCAAGGAAAAAACATTTCAAAGGAGGTCAACTACAGAATACATATTTAACATAGTAGGGCTGGGTGAATGTGGACCCCACCTCAGTGGCGTAGCATGGGTTGTCAGCACCCGGGGCAAGGCAAGTAACTTGCGCCCCCTAACCCATGGATTTGTGCCCCCTAACCCGTGGATTTGTGCCCCCTAACCCTAACCCCCAGATGTTGCGGCCGGCCCCCCCTGCACCCCCACGCTACGCCACTGCCCCACCTCCTAGGCAAGGTGGAAAGGACCTTGCAGGGAGCAGCCTTCATGCCTTCTTCACCCTCTGTCCTTTTCTCCTCCAGCTGCTGGAGGGAGAGAGAGAAAGGTGTGACATCATGAGAGAGCACGATGTATTAGTTGAGAAGAAAGTTTACATTGTAATTCACCTTAGATTAAGATTTATTTTTTTAATGGCATAAGGTGTAAAGCAAAACAAAAAGGAGCAGAATGCTTTAATGAAATGTCTTGAACCTTTATGATAAACCTCCTTGGCAGAGGAAAATCAGGACCTGGTGTAACATTGTCCTTGGTAATGCACTACATTTGAGGTTTTGTTGTATATATTCAAAAATGCCCATATCTCGTAGATAAATTGTTGGTTGGAGTCTGTTGGGATGAAAGGACTACATAAATTTTAATCTATGCAAGATTAGCATGGATTGTATGGTTTGGGACACAAATATAAACCTCATAACTCATTGCTTCCTCTTCAGATATGAATGACTGTTTTAAATGTCCAGATGAATATTATCCCAACAAAAAACAGGATTTATGTATTCTGAAGGAAACAAGCTTCTTGTCTTATGAAGAACCTTTGGGGATCAGTTTAGCCACTTTTTCTCTTTCCTCTTCAATCATCGCAGCTCTGGTGCTAGGGACGTTTCTGAAGCACCACAACACTCCCATTGTCAAAGCCAACAATCGGGACCTTACCTACATGCTCCTCCTGTCCCTCCTACTCTGCTTCCTTTGTGCATTGTTATTCATTGGACAGCCTCAGAAGGTGACATGTCTTCTGCGACAACCTGTTTTTGGCATCATCTTCTCAGTGGCTGTTTCTTGTGTGCTGGCAAAAATGATCACAGTGATTCTGGCTTTCATGGCCACCAAACCAGGATCCAGGATGAGGAAATGGGTGGGGAGGAGGCTGGCCAACTCCATTGTGATTTCCTGCTCCTTTATTCAAGCAACCATTTGTATTATGTGGTTGGCATTTTCTCCCCCATTCCCAGATGTCGATAAACACTCTATTTACGGAGAAATTGTTCTAGAATGCAATGAGGGTTCTGTAACTATGTTTTACTGTGTCCTGGGTTACATGGGCTTTCTGGCTATGGCCAGTTTCAGTGTGGCTTTCCTTGCCAGGAAGTTGCCCGACAGTTTCAATGAAGCCAAGTTCATCACTTTCAGCATGTTGGTCTTTTGTAGTGTTTGGTTATCCTTTATTCCCTCCTACCTAAGCACTAAAGGAAAATACATGGTAGCTGTGGAGATCTTTTCCATCTTAGCCTCCAGTGCTGGGGTGCTGGGGTGCATCTTTTCCCCTAAATGTTATATCATTGTTTTAAGGCCTGAACTGAATGATAAGGAACAGTTTATAAGACGAAAGGCTGGATGAATGTGTGGGTGTGTTTTTCTCTAGTCCGCACAACCAAAGGATATTTGGTTTTTTTGGGTGTTTATGAATTATTTTCTTGGTAAATTTGCTCCATTTCAATTTTGTTTGGACCTCTCTATCTTTTAAACATAAAAACAAAACATAAAAACAAAACCCTTGCACTCTGAAGCAATATTTCCTTATATGCCATAAACCTGAATTATTTAGAACAAGTCATCTTTAAACCCATGAACCTAAAACAAATCTTGATCAGAATTGTGCAACTTATACTCTAAGAGTAAGGGCTTAGATAATTTAGGCACATATTGCATGGCCTGGTTATATAGGATTTTGCCTGGTGCCTAAAGATATGTAATGACGGTACATTGCTGACACCAGGTGAGCCACCCTGGGGAGAGCACTCCACAAATAGAGAATCATGACAGAAAAGGCCTGTTCTTGTGTTGCCACCCTCTGGACCTCTTGTGGAGCAGGCACAGGAAGAAGGGCCTCAGATGATGAGCACACAGTCTGGGTCAGTTCATTTGGGGAGTGGAAGTCCTCGTGACATTGTGGTTCTGAGTAACTGATGGCTTAATAGGTCAAAACCATTACTTTTATTTGGCCTGGGCAACCAGTGCAATTGTGCCAGGATTAGTATTATATGCTCAAACTTTCTTGCACCAGTGAGAAACCTGGTTACTGAATTCTACACCAGCTGTAGTTTCCAAACCATCTTCAGAGGCAGCCCCACATATAACACTTTTCAATAATCTAATTTACAAGTTACCAAAGCTTAGACAAATTACATTAGGCCTTACTTGTCCAGATAGGAGCACAACTGGGCCATCAAGGCCACCTGAGCGTCAAGTGACAGCAGTGAATTGATAATTATTCCCAGGTTGTGTACAATTTCCTTCAGAGGGAGTGTAACAATCAAGAGTAGGCCACCGTCCATCCATACAGTCTAAGGAGCCCCCCCACTAATGTCCTGCAATGGTAGATACTGCCATACTCTAGCTCTTCAAATACACTAAGAATTGCATTACCGTATTTTTCGCAGTATAGGACGCACTTTTTCCTCTCCAAAAATGAATGGGAAATCTGGGTGCGTCCTATGGGGCGAATGCAGGCTTTCGCTGAATCTTGGAGAGCAAGAGGGGTTGGTGCGCACCGACGCCTCTCGCTCTCCAGGCTTCGGGAACACATCCGCAGCCTAGGCAGCCTTGCGGGAGGTCCCGCAGGGATGTCTAGGCTGCAGATAGCAGCCTGCTTCCCGGAGCGTCGGGCGCCCTGAAAGCAGAGCGCCCGGCGCTTCGGGAACACACCCACAGCCTAGGCAGCCCTGCGGGAGGTCCCCGCAGGGCTCCCCACCCTGCGGATAGCAGCCTGCTGCCCGGCGGGCGGGGCGCCCTGAAGCAGAGCGCCCCGCGCGCCGGACAGACATTGGCCAGCCCCACAAGCTCGGAGGACAGCAGGGAGGCGCCGCGCCGCGCCGCCATCCCGCTGTTCCTCGACCTGGTTCGGTTTCCCCGACCTGCTTTCGGGGGTAAATAAAGGGGAATTTTTTTCCCTTTATTTCCCCCCAAAAAAACTAGGTGCGTCCTATGGGACGGAGCGTCGTATGGGACGAAAAATACGGTACATGGTAAAGAAATATGGGCCATAAAGGCTGCAGATTAGAAGAAACCCAGAAGATCTCAAATTCATAGAGTAAGCAGTAGTATAATCACCTGGTGTTAAGCACTAAGGCAAACACAGTCACTTGCTGGGTTGTCACCTCTCAAGGCTCCAGTGCTCTGGTGGAATCCTCATTAACTTGTGCATGGTGCCCCGTGCCAAATCCCTGAACTGTTCCAACTGAAACAGAGAGGGTACTTCATTATACAACTTTCAGCAGTTGCTGGTCTCATCTCTTTACCCTGGCTTTCGACACTTGATATGCCAATTTCTACCACCCCCATATTTACTAAATGCTAAGTTGTTTAAAATACTGCTTTATTTGTTGTAACCCACCCCTGAGTGGGAGGACAGGAAATGTAATAGAGGGAACAAGCAAACCCTTGTGAAGCTACAGACATGGGCATGCTTCTTGGGAGCCTACATCAGTGCCTTCTCTGTCTTCCCAAAGGCTAAGGGGTCCTTTCTCTGGCATTCAGAAGCAAGACAAGAAAGAAGTGGCAAAGGAGGGATTTGAGGCTACAGATTGAAAGGACTCAGCAGCTGGGTTGCTACCAATTAGGCCTTGCTCTTCTAAAAGTAAAGGAATCACTCTGCCTTCCACCACATTTCCTATTTAGAAAATGCCTCCCTCTCCACAAGCTGTGGTATGTGTTGGTAAGTTGCCTTTAAATCTTCAGCACAATGTTCCTAATACATGTTTAAGTGTACATTAATCCAAACTATGATGTTATAAGTCTGCAGCCTTGCCGCCTTCCCCATCCAAGCCATAGTATCATTTGATACTCAACTAGGTGGAAGGTGTGGGGGAATCTTCAGATGTAACAAACAAGTTTCCTTCTCCAGTTACACAGAGGAACCCCAACGTTGACTTTGTAATTATTTTCCTCTGTCATTACAGCAATGATTATAAATAATTTTGTTGCACGCTGAAACCCCTGTGGAATTCGAACTGGAAAGTTGTTATTTGGTAAGTATGCACACAAGAATTTATAACTACCGCTAGAGATTAGTGGTATTTATATTTCAGAGTTTGGGGCTATTTAAAAACTGAATAAACATTTAAATCAGCCTTTGCAACTGGTGACACTGAAATAAGGGAATTTTCAGTGGAAATAATGTCATATTTCTCAAGTGAAGATTTGCCTTCAAACTCAGGATGGCGACTTTGCTTATGTTGCTGCTGGCACTGCTTCCTGAAATGACATGCAAGACTCACATGGTGAAGTGTCATGTCCATGATCCACACCCTCCACTTCACAAGTATCACCAGTCAGGAGACCTCAACCTTGGTGGCTTAGCTTCTCAAAGCTTCATCATTTCCAATGCATTAGCCTTCACTAAAGAACCCCCTCAGGCATTGCCCGAAGAGCTTGTGTAAGCAGTTGCTCTTTCTTTTATATCTTTCTGTTTTTCTGAGTTTTTTCTGTGGTTACTGTAAGCTGTGGCATACTGATTTTCAACAAAGAAAAATATAAATAATGCAATTAAGGATATGTATCTTGTTCCAAATAACAAGATAATAGAACATAATAAAGATAAATTTATTTCACTGACTTTTATAGGCATAGCCTAGCTTCATATCTATTAATTTTGAAATCTGTTATCATCCATCTTATCATGGAAATGAATCTCAGTGATGTGTGATGGATTTTGTTTTCTTCCTTTATATGTTCCAGAGTTCTTAAAATGTTTTTAACACATAAAAGGGGGCAAATGGACTTACTAAAAACAACAACAACAAGCAAACAATTTTATACACCACTGTGGACTGCATCCTCAGATGTGGTTTAAAATACTGTACTATTTCATAATGCAAACATTGATGAGAATGCAATAATTGTGATTTATAAAATGAGAGATATCTTTTTGATACAGAGTGCAATTCTCATTTCAGCATGGTGACTAAGAATTACCAGCACATCCTGGCCTTGGAATTTGCAGTGAAGGAGATCAATGACAACCCTCAGATCTTACCCAATACCACCTTGGGCTTCCACATATTTGACAGCTATTTCATTGCAAAAGGGACCTATCATGCTACAATGCTGCTAACGTCCAGCCCAGAGAGATTGGTCCCCAACTACAAATGCGACATCCATCATCATTTGATAGCAGTCATTGGGGGGCTGGACCCCCTAACCTCTCTTCATGCTGCAACAGTCTTGGATATCTATAAAATTCCACAGGTATAATGTATCCATCTCTGTGCTGAGCATCATGGATTTAAAGTTGTTGTTTTCCTCCCATGGTTGCATTGTTTGCTATATTTCGCTCTATAGTCCAGAGGCCAAAATATGTGAACTGGTGTGGTATTTAAGAATATGCTTAAATAAGTCAGCAAGACTCTTATACAGGGGAAGCAATTTGAATTTATTGATACAATTTGGGGAAAACCAAATAAATATTTTTTAATTTGCAGAGAGGCTAATGATGCAGGGTGTTTCCCAAAGAGTCACCAACCTTTTGGGGAAATTTTTACAAAAGTCTCAGTGTTGTAAACGTCATTGCCTCACACATTTAAATATGAATATTGATTTTTCTGATGGTGTGCGGTGGGAGTTGAAAATGGCAGCTTTTGGATTGTTCTTTGCAAAAGTGGAGTAAAATGTTATGGAGCATAAATCCCATCAAAGAACACTTTGATGAGAATTCATGAGGCTGTGGTAAAATTAACCCACCTGCGGCATTTAATTCTACTAGACTGTACTACATAAATTTGATGTTATACCCACATTGTGTTCGCAGGAATGCAGGCAGAAAGGTGTATTTATGTCTTTATGCAATGTGCATTTGCTAAGGATTTGTGGTGCCTTAGAAAAGGCTCAACATGGGCATGTAAAATGTGGGCAGAATGGTGTCTGTGTGTCTTTATGCCGGGAGTACAAGTCCATTTTATAACAGAAGCTGGGAAATCTGTTTTGACTGAAAAATAAAGCTACAGCAATGTAGAGTGCCCAGGGTTTAAATACAGTAGGACACTTCTTTTCTTGGAAACATGGTACCATTTCCCCTCTACTTTATCAACTTAGTGATAGTCTACACCCTCGAATTTTCAGTTTTATTTGGGGGGAGTACCCTATATTGGCTACAGTAACACATATGACTCCAGATGTATTTCAGTATTATTACTTTCTGCATCGTATTGAGTAATGGAGCAACACAGTCCTTACTCTAAAACCCATTGGTTTGTAGTTTTTGTTTATTCTGCTGGTGTACATTTTAAACTGTTGAATAAAAATGACTTAATATATCCATAAAATCATGCTTATTCTTTCTTTTTTCCCCTGCAATCCCTTTTAGCTCATATGTAGCCCGGCTCCAGTCATGGAGTATAAAACCCCAGGCCTTTCCTTCTACCAAATGGTCCCACAGGAAGCCCTGCAGTATGAGGGGATTCTCTCCTTACTTCTGCATTTCAGGTGGACATGGGTTGGACTCCTTACCATGGATCTTGAGAATGGAGAAAGATTTGTTCAAACTGTGGTTCCAATGTTTACTTCTAGTGGCATTTGTTTTGCCATTATAGAGAGAGTATCCAAATTATCTCTTATCGCTGATCTTAAAGACTTGTTCCAACAGGTTGCAAAAATACATGATAAAGTAATGAGTAGCAAAGCCAATGTGATGATCATCTATGGAGAATCTTATTCTATGATATTTCTGAGATGGTTTCCGTATTTATCTGAGCAAGAACATGTGAATATTAACCCAAAGGGTATAGTGTGGATTATGACAGCCCAGGTGGAGCTGACTTCTATCGTTTATCAAAGGACTTGGGATAAAGAAATAATCCACGGGGCTCTGTCCTTTGCAATTCACTCCAATGATATATCAGGATTTCAGCAATTTACTGCCAGTAGAAAACCTGCCACCTCAAAAGAAGATTATTTCATCAAGGACTTCTGGCAGCAGGCCTTTGCCTGTTCATTTCCAGGTACAGGTGCAGAAGATGTGCATGGGGATATCTGCACTGGAGATGAGAACGTGGGGACTCTTCCTGGGCCTTTCTTCGAAATGAGCATGATTGGCCATAGCTACAGTATCTACATGGCTGTTTATGCCATGGCACAGGCTGTTCATGACATGTTCTCATGGAGACTCAAATCAAGAATGTTAAAGGACCAAGGGCAGTTGTCATTACAAAATCAACAGCCATGGAAGGTAATGAAGCCAATTTTCTCTTGCAATAGGGCACCATATCATTGGTGTCAAATAATCCATGACTCATTTAATTATCTCCCTGATTTTTGTTTCTTTTTTCCTGTTCTTAGTGAGACTGTTGCCACTGAATATATTTGTTAGACTGATACACATCCTCTTCTTCTGATTTCCTTTTTCAAATATAGGTCCATCATTTCCTCAGAGGTGTATTATTTAATAATAGTGCTGGAGATGAGGTTTCCTTTAACCAGAATGGGGAGTTGAAAGTTGGGTTGGATGTTATTAATTGGATTGTTTCCTTAAACCAATCCTTTCATAAAATTAAAGTTGGGAGGATGGATCCCCAGACTTCTTCGCAACAAGTGTTCACCATCCATGAAGATGCTATAACATGGCAAAGGCGGTTTAACAAGGTAGGGAGATTTCCAGTTTGGAATGAACATTGACTTCCATACAGTTTGTAAAGATCATTTCACTTGACCACAATGTTTTTGTGATGTATGAAAAATTCTTGAAATGGTTAGGGAAATTACACTTCATGAATTTATAACTGGGGCAGTGTTCTAGATTTTATTTATTGAGAAATTGTTGTATGAGCTAAATATATTCATATTTTGGTTTAAACATATGTCAAATAATTATCACTAGTTGAGTTCCAAAGTTTGTCATGCACATTGATTTCATTGAGTCAGCTCAGAGCACTCCATCTTTGAATATCACTTAAGATCGTTATCATTTGAAACCTTCAAAATTCCATCAATAGGACCAAAGTATATGTAACCTTTATTCATTTTGTTTATGAAATAATCTTCGGCGGCATAGTTGAAATCAGCTCTGAACGAAGTGAGGAAACCAGGTAGAATCACCTCTTTTGTTCTCCATCAAGCGGAAAACTTCATCTCCTGCTTGCCTCTATCAAACCAGAACTTCACTATTTAGCACACTAACTCTGCCCCCTAACTAGTGACCAATAAAAAAAGGCCATTAGAAGCATTTATTTTTACTTCTTTCCTCCTCAAACATGGAAACCCATTAGAATGCTTCTCCTGTCCTCTACCTTCTGGTTAAAAAAAGAAATAAAATCAAGCGTGCTCCCCCCCTCTCTCTCCCCCCCCCCCACTTTCTCACAGACACAAACACAAGCTAGGGAAGAGGTGATCTATGCAAATTTGCAAAGAGGAACAATCATCTGAAGAACACATGGGTCTAATTTGCTTATCATGAGCAGTCAAAACCCTGCCATGCAACTGCTTTTTTCTTGTTGTACCTTGAGGCTTCTCCTGCTTTAGTTTCTAAGGGAGTAAAAGGAATGGACAATTGCTATGCCTGTCATACTTTAAGGTCTTTCCTTTCATTAAGTGTCTTCCCTCTCTGCAGACAAAGTTGGAATCTGCTGCTCGTGGTTTTTATTACTTGATGTTAGACATGAGCATCTAGAAAACATCTCAGTTACAGAAAATGTATTAATGTGATTGTGGGTAACAGGAGAAAGCCTGAACAATACTTGGTGATTGGGGAGGGAGCTGGATTCTTCTCAGGTCTCTGCCCATTTTTCTAGCAGCAGGAGTCAACTCTACTGGAACCATAAAGATTCCCAGTTCTATATTTTCCTTTGTTTCATGGGTTAGGCAAGGCCTATTTCTGTATGCAGTGAGAGTTGCAGTCCTGGTTCAAGCAAGAAAATGAAGGAGGGGGAGCCATTTTGTTGCTACGATTGCACTCCCTGTCCAGAAGAGAAGATTTCAGAACAGATGGGTAAGCAATATCACATACAGAAATAGGAAGCAGATGGCCAGTAATGCAGAGGAATGGGAATAAGCATAAATATATGCATACAATATGGTTACCGGTTTTATTCTTTAAAAAAAAAGAAGAAGAAAGATTTGCTTATTGAATTTATATACTGCCCTATAACAAAAGGTCTCTTTCTTTTTTCCTTTTCCTTTTTTAAAAAAAAATTCGCTACCTCTTTGTATTTTTAAGAAATATCTCAAAGCATTATACAGCATATTAAATCATTAAAACATAAATAAAACAATTTGAAGAAAGCTGAATATAGAGTAGGCAGTCAAAGCAACATAACAGAAAACTAAAATATTATCTTAAAGATTTCAAAATAAAACATTACAAAGCAGGTCAACTACAGAATTCATATTTAACATAGTTGGGCTGGGTGAATGTGAGACCCACTTCCTAGGCCAGGTGGAAAGGGCCTTACAGGGAGCGGCCTTCAGACCTCACACCTTCTTCACCCTCTGTCCTCTTCTCCTCCGGCTGCTGGAGGGAGACAGAGAAAGGTGTGACATCAGAAGAGAGCACAATGTATTAATTGAGAAGAAAGTTTACCTTTTATTCACCTTAGATTAAGATTTTTTTTAAAAGAAAAGGCATAAAGTGTAAAGAAAAACAAAAAACAGCAGAATGTTTTAACGAAATATCTTGAACATCCATGATAAACTGCCTTAGAAAAGGAAAATCAGGACCTGGTGTAACATTGCCCTTGGTAAAGCACTACTTTGAGGTTTTATTGTATATATTCAAAAATTACCAATTCTCATAGATTAATCATTGCTTAGAGTCTGTTGGGATGACAGGACTACATAAACTTTAATCTATGCAAGATTAGCATGGATTGTATGGTTTGGGACACCAATATAAACCTCAGTCAAAATAAAAAAAATCCTTCCAGTAGCACCTTAAAGACCAACTAAGTTAGTTCTTGGTATGAGCTTTTGTGTGCATGCACACTTCTTCAGATACACAGATACAGTGTATCTGAAGAAGTGTGCATGCACACGAAAGTTCATACCAAGAACTAACTTAGTTGGTCTTTAAGGTGCTACTGGAAGGAATTTTTTTATTTTGACTATGGCAGACCAACACGACTACCTATCTGTAACTGGAACCATGGAAGGCACCACATTGAGCCGCATGAAATGGAAGTCCATGTGTATCTGAAGAAGTGTGCATGCACACGAAAGCTCATACCAAGAACTAACTTAGTTGGTCTTTAAGGTGCTACTGGAAGGAATTTTTTTATTTTCAATATAAACCTCATAAACTCATTGCTTCTTTTTCAGATATGAATGACTGTTTTAAATGTCCAGATGAATATTATCCCCACAAAAAACAGGATTTATGTATTCTGAAGAAAATCAGCTGCTTGTCTTATGAAGAACCTTTGGGGATCAGTTTAGCCTGTTTTTCGCTTTCCTCTTCAATCATCGCAGCTCTGGTGCTAGGGACGTTTCTGAAGCACCACAACACTCCCATTGTCAAAGCCAACAACCGGGATCTCACCTACATGCTCCTCCTGTCCCTCCTGCTCTGCTTCCTTTGTGCATTGCTATTCATTGGACAGCCTCAGAAGGTGACATGTCTTCTGCGACAACCTGTTTTTGGCATCATCTTCTCAGTGGCTGTTTCCTGTGTGCTGGCAAAAACGATCACAGTGATTCTGGCTTTCATGGCCACCAAACCAGGATCCAGGATGAGGAAATGGGTGGGGAAGAGGCTGGCCAACTCCATTGTGATTTCCTGCTCCTTTATTCAAGCAACCATTTGTATTATGTGGTTGGCATTTTCTCCCCCATTCCCAGATGTCGATAAGCACTCAACCTATGGAGAAATTGTTCTAGAATGCAATGAGGGTTCTGTAACTATGTTTTACTGTGTCCTGGGTTACATGGGCTTTCTGGCTATGGCCAGTTTCAGTGTGGCTTTCCTTGCCAGGAAGTTGCCTGACAGTTTCAATGAAGCCAAGTTCATCACTTTCAGCATGTTGGTCTTTTGCAGTGTTTGGTTATCATTTATTTCCTCCTACCTAAGCACTAAAGGAAAATACATGGTAGCTGTGGAGATCTTTTCCATCTTAGCCTCCAGTGCTGGGGTGGTGGGCTGCATCTTTTTCCCTAAATGCTATATCATTGTTTTAAGGCCTGAATTGAATGATAAGGAACAGCTGATAAGACGAAAGGCTGGATGAATGTGTGGGTGTGTTTTTCTCTAGTCTGAACAACCAATGGATATTTGATTGTTTGGGTGTTTATTAATTATTTTCTTGGTAAATTTGTTCTATTTCAACTTTCTCGGACCTCTCTATCTTTTAAACATAAAAACAAAACCCTTGCACTCTGAAGCAATATCTCCTTATATATATACCGTACATGTTGCCATAAACCTGAACTATTTAGAACAAGTCATCTTTAAACCCATGAACCTAAAAGAAATCTTGATCAGAATTGTGCAACTTATACTCTAAGAGTAAGGGCTTAGATAATTTAGCCAAATATTGCATGGCCTGGTTATATAGGATTTTGCCTGGTGCCTAAAGATATATAATGACGGTACATTGCTGTCACCAGGTGAGCCACCCTGGGGAGAGCACTCCACAAATAGAGAATCACGGCAGAAAAGGCCTGTTCTCGTGTTGTCACCCTCCAGACCTCTTGTGGAACAGGCACAGGAAGAAGGGCCTCAGATGATGAGCACACAGTCTGGGTCAGTTCATTTGGGGAGTGGCAGTCCTTGTGACATTGTGGTTCTGAGTAACTGATGGCTTAATAGGTCAAAACCATTACTTTTATTTGGCCTGGGCAACCAGTGCAATTGTGCCAGGATTAGTATTTTATGCTCAAACTTTCTTGCACCAGTGAGAAACCTGGTTACTGAATTCTACACCAGCTGCAGTTTCCAAACCATCTTTAGAGGCAGCCCCACATATAACACTTTGAAATAATCTAATTTACAAGTTACCAAAGCATAGACGAATTACATTAGGCCTTACTTGTCCAGATAGGAGCACAACTGGGCCACCAAGGCCACCTGAGCTTCAAGTGACAGCAGTGAATTGAAAATTATTCCCAGGTTGTGTACAATTTCCTTCAGAGGGAGTGTAACAATCAAGAGCAGGCCACCTTCCATCCATACAGTCTAAGGAGCCCCCACTAATGTCCTGCAATGGTAGATATGCCATACACGAGCTCTTCAAATACACTAAGAATTGCATTACATGGTAAAGAAATATGGGCCATAAAGACTGCAGATTAGAAGAAACCCAGAAGATCTCAAATTCATAGAGTAAGCAGTAGTATAATCACCTGGTGCTAAGCACTAAGGCAAACACAGTGACTTGCTGGGTTGTCAACTCTCAAGGCTCCAGAGCTCTGGTGGAATCCTCATTAACTTGTGCATGGTGCCCCGTGCCCAGAACTGTTCCAACTGAAACAGAGAGGGTACTTCATTATACTATTTTCAGCAGTTGCTGGTCTCACCTCTTTACCCTGGCTTTCAACACTTGATATGCCAATTTCTATCACCCCCATATTTACTAAATGCTAAGTTGTTTAAAATACTGCTTCATTTGTTGTAACCCACCTATGAGTAGGAGGACAGGTAATGTAATAGTGGGAACAAGCAAAACCCTTGTGAAGCTACAGACATGGGCAAGCTTCTTGGGAGCCTACATCAGTGTCTTCTCTGTCTTCCCAAAGGCTAAGGGGTTCTTTCTCTGGCATTCAGAAGCAAGACAAGAAAGAAGTGGCAAAGGAGGGGTTTGAGGCTACAGATTGAAAGGACTTAGCAGCTGGGTTGCTACCAATTAGGCCTTGCTCTTCTAAAATTAAGACTCACTCTGCCTTCCAACTTCATTGATGAGCCCGCCCACCACATTTCCACCACATTTCCTAATTAGAAAATGCCTCCTCCCCAAAAGCTGTGGTATGTGTTGGTAGGTAAAGGTAAAGGGACCCCTGACCATTAGGTACAGTCGTGGCCGACTCTGGGGTTGTGGAGCCGGCATTTATCCACAGACAGTTTTTTCGGGTCATGTGGCCAGCATGACTAAGCCACTTCTGGCGAACCAGAGCATCTCACGGAAACGCCGTTTACCTTCCCGCCGGGGCGGTACCTATTTATCTACTTGCTTTCAAAGTGCAAGGTTGGCAGGAGCAGGGACCGAGCAACTGGAGCTCACCCCGTCGCGGGGATTCGAACCGCCGACCTTCTGATCGGCAAGTCCTAGGCTCTGTGGTTTAACCCACAGTGCCACCCGTGTCCCTATGGGTTGGTAAGTTGCCTTTAAATCTTCAGCACAGTGCTCCTAATACAAGTTTAAGGGTACATGAACGCCAAACTATGATGTTATACGTCTGAAGCCTTGTGCCTCCCTCATCCAAGCCAAAGTATCATTTGATACTCAACTAGGTGGAAGATGTGGGGGAATCTTCAAATGTAACAAACAAGTTTCCTCCTGTAATTACACAGAGAAACCCCAACGTTGACTTTGTAATTATTTTCCCCTGTCATTACAGCAATGACTATTATTAATTTTGTTGCACGCTGAACCCCCTGTGGAATTCGAATAGGAAAGGAAAAAAGAAAGTTCTTATTTGGTAAATATACACACAAGAATGCCTAACTACCGCTAGGTCTTAGTGGTATTTATACTTCAGAGTTCTGGTCTATTTAAAAACCGAATAAACATTTAAATCAGCCTTTTGCAACTGGTGACATTGAAATAAGGGAGTTTTCTGTGGAAAGAATGTCATGTTTCTCATGTGAAGATTTGCCTTCACACTTAGGATGGCGACTTTGCTTATGTTGCTGCTGGCACTGCTTCCTGAAATGTCATGCAAGACTCACATGGTGAAGTGTCATGTCCATGATCCACACCCTCCACTTCACAAGTATCACCGGTCAGGAGACCTCATCCTTGGTGGCTTAGCTTCTCACAGCTTCATCATTTCCAATGCATTAGCCTTCACTAAAGAACCCTCACAGGCATTGCCTGAAGAGCTTGCGTAAGGAGTTGCTCTTTCTTTTATCTCTTTCTGTTTTTCTTAGCTTCTTTCTCTGAATATTGAAAGCTAGGGCATATGGATTTTTAAACATAGAAAGTATAAAGAATGCAATTAAGGATATGTCCCTTGTTCCCCATAGCAAGATATTAGAATATGATAAATATAAATTTCTTTCACTGACTAATATAGGCTTGCAAAGACTAGTTCCATATCTATTTTGAAATCTGTTGTGGTCCATCTTAACAGGGAAAGGAATCTCAGTGATATGTGATAGATTTTGTATTCTTCCTTTATATGTTCCAGAGTTTAAAAAATGTTTTTAACACATAAAAGGGGGTTAACAGGATTACTAAAAACAAAAGCCAACAATTTTGTAAACTACCCTGGACTGCATCCACAAATGTGGTTTAAAATACTGTACTGTTTCATAAAGCAAACGATGAGAATACAATAATTGTGATTTAGAAAATGAGAGATATCTTTTTGATACAGAATGCAATTCTCATTTCAGAGTAGTGACTAAGAATTACCAGCACATCCTGGCCTTGGCATTTGCAGTGAAGGAGATCAATGCCAGCCCTCAGATCTTACCCAATACCACCTTGGGCTTCCACATATTTGACAGCTATTTCATTGCAAAAGGGACCTATCATGCTACAATGCTGCTAACGTCCAGCCCAGAGAGATTGGTCCCCAACTACAAATGCGACATCCATCATCATTTGATAGCAGTCATTGGGGGGCTGGACCCCCTAACCTCTCTTCATGCTGCAATAGTTTTGGATATCTATAAAATTCCACAGGTATAATGTATCCATCTCTGTGCTGAGCATCATGGATTTAAAGTTGTTGTTTTCCGTCCCTGGTTGCATTGCCTGCCATATTTCACCTTGTGGTTCAGAGGCCAAAATATGTGAACTGGTGTGGTGAATAAAGCATAAGCTTCAACACCACAGCAAGACTCTTATACAGGGGATACAATTTTGTATTTATTGATACAATTTGGAAAAAACACATGAAATAAATACATTTAATTTGAAGATAGACCAATTACGCAGGTTGATTTTCATTCAGTCACCAATCTTTTGGGGGGAAATGTACAAAAGTCTCAGGGTTGTAAACATCATTGCCTCACAAATACAAGGAGATAGAAATGATGGTGATTGAGTGGGAGTTGAAAATGGCAGCTTTTGGATTGTGCTTCTCAGAAATGGAGTGAAAAGCTATGGAGCATAAATCCCATCAAAGGAAAATTTAGATGAGAATTCATGGGACTATGCTAAAATTAACCCACCTGTGGCATTTAATATCTACTAGACTGTACTACATAAATTTGATGTTATGCCCACATTGTGTTTGCAGGAATGCAGGCAGAAAGGTGTATTTATGTCTTTATGCAGTGTGCATTTGCTAAGGATTTGTGGTGCCATAGAAAAGGCTCAACATGAGCATGCAAAATGTGGGCAGAATGGTGTTTGTGTGCCTTTATGCCGGGAGTACAAGCCCATGTTATAACAGAAGCTGGGAAATGTGTTTTGACTGAAAAAGAAAGCTACAGCAATATAGAGTGTCCAGGGTTTAAATACAGCAGGACACTTCTTTTCTTGGAAACATGGTACCTTTCTTGTTCTTCTTTATAGTGACAGTCTTCAACCTCCAATTTTCACTTTTATTTGGTGTGTACACTTAATTGCCTACAGTAACAGAAAAGACTCAAGAAGTATTTGAGTATTATTATTTTCAGCATCTTGTATTGAGTGATGGAGCAACATGTTCCTTACTCAAAAGGTAACTTGAAATATTGAATAAAAATGACTGAATATATTCATAAAACTATTCCTATTCTTTCTTTCTTTTTTCTGCAATCCCTTTTAGCTCATATATAGCCCGGCTCCAGTCATGGAGGATAAAACTCCAGGCCTTTCCTTCTACCAAATGGTCCCACAGGAAGCCCTGCAGTATGAGGGGATTCTCTCCTTACTTCTGCATTTCAGGTGGACATGGGTTGGACTCCTTACCATGGATCTTGAGAATGGAGAAAGATTTTTGCAAGCCGTGGTTCCAATGTTTACTTCTAGTGGCATTTGTTTTGCCTTTATTGAGAGAGTATCCAAATTATCTCTTGTCACTGATCTTAAAGACTTATTACAGCAAGGTGCAAAAATATATGATAAAATAATGAGTA